CCATGAAAGCCATCATTTCTTTGTCAATGGAAAAGCATCAGCACATGGAGGAAGCATAAAGAGAAAATCTGTTATTAATTGGCAGAATTATGAATATAGCCCTTTTCAGTGTAGTAGCATGGAAATGCTTCGAATCTACAAATTTTGGCTCTACATCGAATAAGCACCGTGATATCCTAGTCCAAACATTAACTGAAAGAGACTCCATAGCATCTTCTGGAAGTGTTCTTTGAGTTATCTGATCTGGTTTGGCAGAACCAATCATTGAATTTGGAAGATGAATGTGTTCATAGCATCTTCTGGAAGTGTTCTTTGAGTTATCTGATCTGGTTTGGCAGAACCAATCATTGAATTTGGAAGATGAATGTGTTCATAGCATCTTCTGGAAGTGTTCTTTGAGTTATCTAATCTGGTTTGGTAGAACCAATCATTGAATTTGGAAGATGAATGTGTTCATAGCATCTTCTGGAAGTGTTCTTTGAGTTATCTGATCTGGTTTGGCAGAACCAATCATTGAATTTGGAAGATGAATGTGTTCATAGCATCTTCTGGAAGTGTTCTTTGAGTTATCTAATCTGGTTTGGCAGAACCAATCATTGAATTTGGAAGATGAATGTGTTCATAGCATCTTCTGGAAGTGTTCTTTGAGTTATCTAATCTGGTTTGGTAGGAACTACAGAACCAATCATTGGAATTAAAAGATGAACTGCATGATCGTCTTCATTAAGAAGTTTCTTTTCAAGCTTCTTTTGCTTATCCCTTTCCCAAAAATCATAGCACAAGTTTCGTCTTTGCTTGTAACTGGGATTATCACATAATGGCTTCCCATATTTTACCGGAAGAAGTGCGTCAGCATCTTTAGTCATTTGAGCAGCACATATAAAATTTGCCAATTCTACAATTGATGAATTTGGACCACACATCTCTACATGGCTATTGAAGCTTCAGCCTTTGAGAATCCCATTTTTGTCAAGTATAACAGTTTATTCTCCTCATCAGAATCAGAATTCAAGATTTTTCGGTATTAGAAGAACTATCGATATCTGTGAAATCATCTTGAAAGGTCACTTCATAATCAGATGAGTTGTTATCAGAATCAACATGTTGCCTGAATGCAAGCTTTTCAAGAGCCTATACTATTGAGTGTTATTCTCAAGAGATTTTATGACATTATATCTACATTTGTCAAAGATGATAGATTCTTTGTTTTGAAGAAGAAAGATCTATTGGTTTTTTTTACAATTGAAGAAATACTCAATTCACCAATCTGAAATCAAACAACTTAACATTCATGCATCATATTTAGGCATTTGCAAAAATAGATGCATTTCCATTCATTTTTTTATTCTTGTTGAAATTTTAACAGGAATTTCAAAGATTTTAGCAAAGATTCAAATCTATCATTTGATGGATTTACATTTCCAGAGAAGGTTCATAATGAGAAGAACTCATCTGAAGAAGGAAGAAGAAGTTCATAATGAGAAGAATTTGTTCAACCTTTTACCTGAATTCATCACTTGATGGATTATTTTTGCCAGAGAAAGTTCATAATGAGAAGAACTCATCTGAAGAAGGAAAAAGAAGTTCATAATGAGAAGAATTTGTTCAACCTTTTACCTGAATTCATCACTTGATGGATTATTTTTGCCAGAGAAGGTTCATAATGAGAAGAACTCATCTGAAGAAGGAAGAAGAAGTTCATAATGAGAAGAATTTGTTCAACCTTTTACCTGAATTCATCACTTGATGGATTATTTTTGCCAGAGAAAGTTCATAATGAGAAGAACTCATCTGAAGAAGGAAGAAGAAGTTCATAATGAGAAGAATTTGTTCAACCTTTTACCTGAATTCATCACTTGATGGATTATTTTTGCCAGAGAAAGTTCATAATGAGAAGAACTCATCTGAAGAAGGAAAAAGAAGTTCATAATGAGAAGAATTTGTTCAACCTTTTACCTGAATTCATCACTTGATGGATTATTTTTGCCAGAGAAGGTTCATAATGAGAAGAACTCATCTGAACAAGGAAGAAGAAGTTCATAATGAGAAGAATTTGTTCAACCTTTTACCTGAATTCATCACTTGATGGATTATTTTTGCCAGAGAAAGTTCATAATGAGAAGAACTCATCTGAAGAAGGAAGAAGAAGTTCATAATGAGAAGAATTTGTTCAACCTTTTACCTGAATTCATCACTTGATGGATTATTTTTGCCAGAGAAAGTTCATAATGAGAAGAACTCATCTGAAGAAGGAAGAAGAAGTTCATAATGAGAAGAATTTGTTCAACCTTTTGTCTGAATTCATCATCTAAAGAAAGAAGAGAAAGTTCATAATGAGAAGAACTCATCAAAAGCTTATTCAACCTTTTGAATGACTCTATCACAGAAAGAAAGAGGTCAGCATTATCCCCAGCAGAAAGTTCATAATGAGAAGAACTCATCTGGAGAGAGAGAAGAATTTATTCAATATCTCCATTATGATCAAGTGAAGCTAAATGGATAAAAAAATTTATTATCTTTTCATCTTTGCCCTATTCTTGTTAACACAAGAATGAGCAAAGAGGGGCAGCTGAAGATACTAATTTTTTACCCATATTATTATTATTATTATTATTATTATTATTATTATTATTATTATTATCATCATTATTATTATTAAATATATATTAAATACATATATAAATAATTAATTACAGACCCAATTACAACTGGACCGGCCCAGTTACAAACAAACCAGAACCGGTCCAGACCAACCAGAAATCCTAAACATTTAGGGGTTTCAGTTAGGGTTTCCTAAACCCTAATCCCAGTCGCCTCAGCTTATTGCCGTTGGATCTTGCCAGATCCAACGGTCCAGATGGCTCCAGATGGAAACCCTAGGGTCTGATACCCTAGGGCCACGCGGCCGCCGTTGCTGTTCTCGCCGCCTCCACCGCTGCCACGTCCCAACCGAAGGCTCCAGAAGCTCCAACGCCAGCCGTCCACGCCATGGCTACGGGGTGAGTCACCACTGGTAGTCCGGTGACTCACCGAGACCCCCTCTTCGGACCGGTCCGATGGCCACACCGGTGGTGGCTATAAAAGCCACCACCCGAACCTGAAAAAAAAAAAAAGAAAAAACAGAGACCAAAAGAAGAACACAGAGCCGAAAAAAAAAACAGAGAAATAATATAAAAGAAAATTACTACCAACGATCTCAGTCAACATCCCACAACCAGCAACCAAAAATAGAAGGAAAAAAGGAGAGAAGCTTACCGAGGAAGCCACGACCACCGGAACCCTCCAAACGACACCGACAACCTTCGAAAACCGAAGGTATTTTCCTAGATTTGCTCCGGTTGGGAGATTTTTAGGAGAAAATAACACCGGAACCGTCATTAGGACGGTCCGATCTATTTAATGGTGGAAAAATAAGATTTTCCGGCCACCAGATGCGGTGGCCGGCGGTGATGGTCACGGTGGCAGACGGTTGCCGTCCGGTGACCGGCTTCCCTCCGGTGAGGGAAGCTAGAGAGCTGAGAGAGCTTTGTTCATTCTCTCTCAATTAGAGAGAGAATGAAATTTGAAAAATGAAATAGATGGCCCGAAGGGCCGGCCGTTTTTGACCTTTTATAGGCCTTCCCGAACGATGTCGTTTCGGGAAGGACTATGCGCGTAATTAGACAATAGTTAAACCCCGTCCGCTGTCCTCCTAACTTGTAAACTTTACATTTTAGTCACTAAATCGAATTTATAAATACTTTTAATTCAGTCTTTGAATTTCAATTTAATTTATTTTAGTCCTTTTTATTAAAATAATATATTTAGGATAAATAATAGATTTAATCCCTTAATTTTAATAAATAATATTTTAATCCCTAGTTTATATTTTTAATTTATTTTATTATAATATCCGAATTTTAGATAATTTTATTTTAGTCACTAAATAAATAAAATAAATAAATAGCATGTTTAATCCCTAATATTTTGATTAGTTATGAATTAGGTTTTTAATTTTATTTTTTCTATCATTTAGTTATTTATTTTAAATATATCGTTCTAGTTGTATTTTATTGTTTTAATTTTACTTGTTTATTTATTTAAATATTTTTATAGTCATAAATATATATATATATATATATATATATAATAAATAAATATTTACTTCAAATAAATTATTTTAATATTTATTTTTCAATATCGAAGAAAAGGACAGTCTTAATACAACTGGATGTCCTATTCTGGTATTTTAAAATTAAATATTATAAAAAAATTATTATTTAATTTTATGTAAATTAATCAAATAGAAAGAAAAGAGCTGTCTTAAGGCACCTAGAAGTTCTTTTCTAATATTTTTAAGTAAATAAATATTTTTTTTATATAATTTTGAAATAATAGAATTATAAATTAAATATATTTTTGAATTTTTAAATTTTAATAATAGAGACAATTTATAATTAAAAAGTACCAAATTTGGGCGTTGTAGGGGTGCTAATCCTTCCCTAAACGTAACCGACCACGAATCCCTTTTTATTATTAAAAAGAATGAATTTTTTGTTATAAACGCAGATCAGTTCATTTTTTATTAGTGTTTTCTTTAAAACTCTTTTAAAAAAATAATTTTTAAGTATTCGACCTACCTGACCTAAAAGGCCGATGGCGACTTTCAAATTATTTTAAAAAACATTTATTTAAATCAATTTTCCAACCAAATTTAAAATTTCGTGCCCGGACGAAATCTGGTTACGACATAACCCATTTTCCTAAGTTCCCCTACGTAACCTACTACCTTCCACATGTTAAAGGGAAAAAAAAGCATGAATAAAGGGAGGGAAAAGTAAAGCTCCAATGGATCCAACTACTAAATTGAATAGCAACCACTCGTGTTTTCTCACCAACTCGGTTAACACGGAGCAATACAATTAAAAAAGACACCCTCATCTCCGAGTCAATTGCTCCCTCTCCTCTCCCCTCTCCCCTCCTCACAATTCCCTTCTTTATAATGTATTATTCTCCTCCCTCTTCCTTTTTTCTGGTATCATCATTTCAATTTACTCCAACCAAAAAAAAAACTCTTTGAAAAGAAGGCTTAGGCTTATTGGGGGAACAGTTATACGTAAAGTTGGTAAGCCGTATGGGTAGATCTCCTTGTTGTGAGAAAGAGCATACCAACAAAGGTGCATGGACCAAAGAAGAAGATGAACAACTCATTAACTACATCAAACTCCATGGTGAAGGCTGTTGGAGATCTCTCCCCAAGGCTGCTGGTCTCTCTCGCTCTCTCTCTTTCTTTCTTTCTTTATGAACATTATCAACTGGCCTGGATTTATTCATATATATATATATATATATATTTGCAGGTTTGCTTCGATGTGGGAAGAGTTGTAGGCTTAGATGGATAAACTACCTGAGGCCTGATCTCAAGAGAGGGAACTTCACAGACGAAGAAGATGAACTCATTATCAATCTTCACAGTTTGCTTGGAAACAAGTATATATCATATTCAAACTTTGATATGTGTATATATGTATGGGTAAATTACACAAATGGTCTTCCGTTGGGTTTACTTTGTTGAGTCTCTCTATCGTTAAAAGTTATAAAATGATCACCGACTATTTGTATATTTCGAATCCGTCATTTTATGTTAAAAAGTCGACGATGGTTTGAGCTAGATGTTAATTTATGGATTGAGATATGATAAATCCATATTTTAATGATGTATACTGACACCACTATTGGTTTCAAGTACTGGCTCGACGACATGATGGAAACGAAAAATCAATCCACAAAATCCAACTCAAACGGTTTCGAGATCAGATTTTATCATATATATCTCAATCAATAGGTTAAAGTCTAGCTCATATGCCTTTCAATTTATTAACGGAAAAAGATAAATTTAGAACATATGAATAATTGAGTGGTTATTTTGTAATTTTTAATAGTCGAAGAACAAAACAAAACACTGCCCTATAATCAAGAAATAATTTTATATCTTTTAGTAATCACAAAACTCGACAACCCTACGACCGTGAGATCATTTGTGTACTTTACCCTATTTGTATAAATATTAATGCTGATTATTTCCCTTTTTATTGTTTCAGGTGGTCTTTGATTGCATCAAGGTTGCCGGGGAGAACCGATAATGAGATCAAGAACTACTGGAATACTCACGTCAAAAGAAAGCTTTATAGCCGGGGGATCGATCCTCAAACGCACCGTCCACTCAATTCTTCACTTTCTTCCTCCACGGTCACTACCTGCAGCAAGAGCAAAACATTAAGCAACAACGTCGGCAGCAGTAATAGCAGCTTCAATAACAATAACAATAACAGTGAACTGCGATTAGAAACGAAACGGTCAGCGACGCCATTGATGAAGGTTAACGGAAAGCAAGATTCGAACAGCAGTGGCGGCGGAGTAAGTAGTGATGAGCAAGTTTCACCGCAACGTCGTCTCAACCTTGAACTCTCCATTGGGCTTCCATTTCCGTACCAGTCTCAAGTTTCTCCCATCAACTTAAAGGAGTAGGGTAGCAGATGATATTAATAGAGTTAATTACATCATATGTCTCCAAACTATGACTCTTATTCAAATTAGTCCTTAAACTTCTAAACTTTTTAATTCCATCCCATTCTAAATTAATCATTAAACTTTTGAGCATTCCGGTTTCATTCTCAAACTATAACTCTCGTCCTAAATTAGTTCCTAAAATTTTGAATCTTCCAATTTGACCCACATATTCATCCAAATATGTAATCAATTTCATCCATAGTTTAACCTAAATTTTATTCTTTTAACATATAATAATAATATTTGATCTAACGATTTTATTAACAATAGATGTGATTAATATATACATGTAATTTGGGATAAAATTGAAATATTCAAAAAAGTTTGGGGACTAATTTAGAATTAAGACCATAGTTTGAGGATGAAACTAAAATATTTAAAAGTTTGAGGACTAGTTTAGAACGATAATTAGAGTTTAGAGATGAAATTAAAATATTTAAAAGTTTAGGGACTAATTTAAAATAAAAATAACAATTGAAGGACGTGAGATGCAATTAAATCTAAATAACAGTACTAAGTTTTTCACCTTAGTAGATCAAATTTTCTTCTGAATTTCGAGTTTTTTTTTATTCAATGATCATTGTTTTGGACTTTGTGTTATATGTATGTTTTGTTTTGGATTTTAAACGTTTGAAAGTATTTTGCACGTCACTAAAAAATATTTAAATTTTCGACTAATTTAATACCCGTCGTTATTTACCGGTGAAAATAAAACATCTTGTCAAAAACTTGTAATCTGAGTGTAGCTTTCGACCAAATTATTTTTTTAGTCAGAAATTTTATTATTTAAAAAAATATATCAATTTAATTTATAAATGAATAATGAATTCGTCGAAAATTTTGTTCACTTTAATAAAAATTATACCAATATAATATATGATGGAACAATCATTCCGTTGAAAATAAAAATATATAAAAAATAAAAATTTCACAGCACATTTTATAACACTCCTTCCCGTATTCGTCACCAAACAGAAACCAGGAATGTCACCTGAATCTTATAAAACATATTTCTATCATAAACCAATAAAATTTTGTTCCTTTAAAAAAGCATTAATAAACCATTTGGTTTTACCGGGGACAGAGGAGGTAAAGCTGGGGATAATTATCCTTTTATCTTGCTTTAGGTCTACAATATTTGATTTAAATACCATTCACTAAATTTTTTACAATTTCATCTTATTATAAAATATTTTAGGATTCTTATTTTAAAAATTAATTCATGATCTGTACATCTTTTGAATTTGAACCTCCAGCAAAAATGATGTTTCCTGAGAACCTCCCACTCAAGAATGGATCGAGGGAGTACCGGAGATGCGGCCAGATCGCTTAGAAATTTAAAATTCTCTTGCAGTTTAGATATTTTCTGTGTATTTTATATGAATTATTTAATTTTATACCCTTGAGGTTTCATAATCTCGCACCCTCTAAAATTTTAATATAATCTTTTATATTCGCAGTCCTTACATAAATTCATGCGTCCGTCTATGCTCCTCTAAATTGTGTCATCGTTACAACATAATAAGACCTCTAACTTGTGTGCCTGGACCAAGCAAATACTAGTGATAGCCAATTGTTACTAAAATTGAAAAAGCAATTTTTGCCTGGTGGATCTCTCGTGGTCTGCGGTGCTGGTGAAGTCATGTTAACGCTTTGTTCTAACTAAGAGTTGTATTCTTCTAACTAAGAGTTTTATTCTAACTTATATGATATGATGCTATCATTTTACTTCTTTAAAATATTAAACTAAGAGTTGTATATGACGTTATCTCTTTCTTATTTGTTTATTTTTTTTTATTATATGTTTTTTAGATTCAAACAATTTTTTGAAAGCCTGAAGGTAATCGAATATTTGAACTATGCTTTTGAGTTTTTGATATTCTTTGCATTTTTTATTACTTTCTTTGAATTTTTATGTTTTATGCTTTATTTTTGTTCTTTAATTACTTATGAACTTGTTATGTTATTAGCTGTTTGTTTAGCAATTTTTCAATATTACCTACAAGATTATAATAAAAATTTAAGAAGTACTCCTCATAACATGTTTTATTCAATTAAAATTATTCAATATTTTCCGTGTCAATCATAGATGAGTTTGATTCTATGAAAATGAGAGTTCATCTTTTTTTTTTGAATTAATACTTGATATCTGATCTATTGATCGAGTAATTCAGATTGGGTACTGTAGAGGCGAAGGCGACCCTCCCAACCCAGTTTACTCCATTCGTAAACGCCATGATTCGAACCTCTGACCTTGGTTAAGGGATCTAATGCCTCATCTCACTAGATCAACTGTTTGTTGGTTGAGAATTCATCTAAATTGATGAAAATATTACATTTCAGACTATGTATTTTTTTACATAAAATTAAAAGTTTTTTTTTGGAACATTTAGTTATACTAGTTTTAGTTGTTATTAAAATTTTAATTTGAAAGATTATATATGTGAGTTATACTTATATTAAATTATTTCTTTTACTTTATTAATATTAACTCAATCAATAGTATTTTTCTGAATTCATCAGTGACTTGATCTCTGCTTTTATAAAATTCACTAGTAAATTAGCATTGTAATTAATTAAATATTGAATTTGTAAAGTAATACATTTCGCCTGATTATGCACTTTTAAGGGTTTTTTCATGAAAATATAATGAAATAATCGAGACAATGAGTGTTGGCACAAGCAGTTAGAATTCAGTAATTTGAGTTTGTAAGGTCAAATTCGAATTCTATCATCGCCATCTTTTTTGGACAATCTATAAATTCCTATGTAATTATAAATTCATCCTTCAAAGTCTTGTAAGTTCATTATATAATAACATAAGATTTTACATTCGTCCTTAATCTCAACACTTATTTAGATTTTTAATTATAGAAAAATGTTACCATTGAACCATATTTATTTGCCATAGAACAATACAACCAGGGGCGGATGCACTAAGTAACCATAGGGGCCAAGTGCATTCTATTATTTTGAAAAAAAGGGGGTTAAATTTAGTTTAATGGGTTAAGAATTTTTTTCATACACTATTTAAAAAAAATAAAATTTTGGATTTATTTTTAAATTTCTGGATCCGCCACCGAATACAATATAAAAATGAATTATATGTGTTCTACTTCCATTGATGATTTGTTCGAACTGTGAAAACGTGCCAAAAAAATTCGACAAGGTAGACATTAGAATCTACAAATCCATACTTTCCAAGGTGAGTTAGAGATTATTGAATAATCACGAGGCATTATGGGCGTTGCTTTTCTGCAGTAAATATCTTAAGAATGTCTCATTCATGGATCCTACCTTGAAACCGTATGCCTTGTCGACTTGACATGGTGTTATGAAGACACGAGACACATTACGAACTGATAAAATATGCATGGATATTGGGGGATGGTTATCAGGTTTGGTTTTGTATAACAAATGTATTTAGAAATGGATCTAAAGGATAAATTGGGACGGCTTATTGATCTTATTAGGGATGGATCTATCTATTTAAGAGGCAATGCCCCAAACCCCACCCTAAATGTTTTACAAAGAAGGAATGGAAAATGAGATGATAATAGATAATATATAAAACTTAAATGATTAAAATAGTTGCAGTACTGAAAAAGGGAAATGAATAGAAGAAAATCAATTTCGGTTCTAAAGGTTTTATCTTGATTAATTCGGACTGATTTGGGTCGTATCTCTGGTTTTGGTAGGTGTGAGTCACCTGATGAGGATTTTCTGCATACACAAAAACTCGAATTTAAAATTATTTAAGCGATATTAATCTGTTTAGTACTTAAATAAACTCCATCTATAGTAATATATATTATACCATTATTGCCATAAATAGTCCTACAATCGCAACAATGGCCGAAGTGACTGCCACAATGCAGGAAGAAACCAACAACTTTGCCCCACAATTTTTCTTCAATCGGATCAACCAGTCGAAGGGTGTCGAGTTTTGATTTTTATTCTAACTAATCCCTAAACTTTTAAATATTTTAATTTTATGCCTAAACTATAATTATCATTCTAAATTAATCCTCAAACTTTTGAACATTTCATTTTCATTCTCAACTATAACCTTCATTCTAAATTGGTCCCCAAACTTTTTGAACATTTTAATCTCATCACAAACAATATGTATATACTAATCACATCCATCGTTAATAAAATCATTATGTCAAGTTATATTAATATATGTTTGAAAAACAAATAGGTTGAACTATGCTTGAAATTAATTACATATTTGGATGACTTTAGGAATGAAATCGAAAGATTCAAAAATTCTGGGACTAAATTAAAATGAAATTCATAGTTTGGGGATTAAATTGAAATGTTAAAAAAATTTAAGAATTAAAAATCATAGATAAAAGTCATAATTTGAGAACATATGATATAGTTAACTCGTAGAGGATCCAATACATCGGACGAGTATTATGAAACAAATTCCGTTTGCATGCAGAGCTTACTTATTGTGAATCAGTCTTAAAAATCTGGAATCTCCACATCCAATTCCGATGTAATTTACATATGAAAACGTTCTCTAATGCATGTATGTAAGTTGCAGCTTATCAAAATTTACACTTATAGGCAGAAAGAGAGGGTCGGATTTAGCGGAACAAGGGCAATATCCCCCACTGATGCAGAAATCCCTCTCCGGTGGTGACCTCTAGTAGCAACAACATCAGCACTACTAGCATGGCTGCTCTCCCGTTCCAAGTTTCGGCACTTTTCATCCAACCCATTCCCAAACGGTCACGGGTGGATGGAGCTCCCGCCGTTGTGAATCGTAAGTTGCCAGTAACTCCTCCACACTTCCCAGGGGAACTAATGACTACACAAATAAGAAAACATCTCCACTTTACCAAGAAAACAAAAACAATGATTGTATTCTACCAAGTAAAAATGACCATTTCGAAACCATTTCAATGAAGAAATTCATCCATAAAATAAAAATAAAGTTTTTCATCAGGGAGCTCCCAAAATATTTTCATCAAAATATACAAACCAACTTTTCAAATAAGTTACGACTCGAATATACAAACAGGGTCTACATATATACATGCCCTCTAAAGGAATAACTCGAGACATACTCTGCTCTGCGTTCAGTCTGGATCTCGACTGCTTAAAAGGGTCCTCGAATGCCCCACCTACTAATTTGCGTAAGGAAACAAATTTCAAAGGCTGAGCTCACTAGTCCAGTGCCACACTAACAACTAAATCATACTAAAGGTGTTCAATAAATACTCAAGATATCGAGTCTAATGCATCATTGAGTATACTCGTATACCCACTTTCTACTCTATATTAGACATCATGGTGCGACTGAGGGTTCTGCATCTTTGAGCTCACGCACCCTTTAGTCTATCGAGGATGAGGCCCAGAACTCTACATTGGACACAATACCCTCGACTAATCCACCCCTCGCAAGTGTCGGGCCTCAACCTTAATTAGTCATCTTAAAGTGTCTCGTGCACTACCTAAGGATATCCGGACTAATTATATTCATCGATACTAGTATCACTTACTAAAGTAACTCGAATGTCCTTATCGTTTCTCGAGTATTTAAACAAGGCAAGTTTTATGTCGCTCTAATTTATCTTGTTTCTAATTATAATTATCATTATTCTTGTTCTCACTTGTATTCTTATTTGAGTGTAATTAGAGCTTTTGGGAACCCTCATTTTCCTCTTAAGATCTATTGGGTATTAAAACTCAACCCAAAACTCTGGTATCGATACTAACCTTAGAGTATCGATACTGCCTCTTAAGTATTAGTACTCCCCTCAAGGTATTGATACCATAGTGTTAAATCCTCTTGCAAGAAAAAGGGAAGTATAGATACTCCTATGGGGGTATCGATACTCAGTCCATGGTATCGATGCTCCTTAAGGTACCGATACAAAAAATTCTCACTAGAAAAATAGTTTCGATACCAAACCCCTCGATCTTGAAACTAGGACCCCAGTATTGATACTCCTTCAAGCGGTATCGATACAGTCCTCATAAAACTCGATTATTTTATGCTTATTATAAGAACAATACCACACAAATTGACCACACAAACTCCCCCAACTTGTTATCTTGAGGTTCCCAATTAGTGTTTAAGTCTTATGTGACAAAAAGGGGTCATAAATAAGATTTTAAAACATGTTAAAACATCAATACAAAAAATCTACCATGGGAATTTACTTAACATGCTTCAATCTCAACTCTTAAGCTAGAATGCATTTCTAATGATCCACAATTGATATGAAGGAGTTGTAAATGTGTTACCTTGATTCCCTTGCTGCTAAAGTCTCCCTCAAACAAGTATGATTCACCTTTTCTTTTCCTCTTGCTTTGGAACTCTCTCCTACCTCTTTCACTAAACAAGGTAGAAAAATGGATTACTAACTCAACTAGGCATTGGATATAAAATAAATACACTCCCTATAACTCAAATCCACCAAAATGGCTATAATCACTTAATTCCTTTAAAACTCCTTAAAACCCATTTTTGGAAACTAGGACCAAATCTTGAGATTAGGGGCTTAAAATGAAGCTTGAATGGTAGGTATTTGTATTCTTACCTTGGTTAACTCAAACTGAAATTGAAATTCTTAAAGTTTCCTCATTTGCAAAAAATATAAGTGCTTGGGAAGTATAAGGGGAGTGGTTCATGTGAGATTACTTAAAATAAGGGGGTTTTCATCATTTGATTTAAGCAATGGGTTAATTGCACTTTAAGCATATATTCTTTTATCTTTTATTAAAACACCATACATCTTTAACTCTTGGGCTCAACTTATGAGTCTTTGGTTGATCCGAACTACCGACCCGAGATTCGAGGTGTTACAATTAATCTTACATACTAGAAGCTAGTTTAGACAAACCTACATGCTAGAACTTTGTCTCTTCCTTATACTTGGAAAAACTTTTCAAATAAAGTTATGAGAAAACTTTCTTTTAGTGTATTATGTAACACCCAAACACTTCTACTACATACAAAAGACCATAGTTCTTCTTCCTCCGTTTAACTACTAAAACTTTGCAGACTCTTCTAAAACTTTGCAGATTCCTTTACTGTACTGTCATAAAGAAATGCCTACTATCTAACCGAATGCATTGAGCTACCTTCGCATTAACCTACCATTTGATTGAATATGCCTCCACCCCAAAAATCATCGAGATGCCTCCATCCCAAGTATACGGCTTATGAAAACTACCCAAGGGGTTGGAGAGGTTCTTCTTTAGAAATAGGAGTGATTCCATTGTTCTTTAACGAACGTTGAGAGTTTCTTTGTAACTTTGAATATTCGATGACTCAACAAAACAACACTTTATAATTGAGGGATCATTTTGTAAATTTTAATAGTAAGGAGACTCAACAAAATAACGTCTTATTGTTGAGGACCATTTGTTTGCCCTAAAAGATAATGTAAAAAGTTATCTTGATGCTTTCTAAAATTAAGTGACCAATCTGTAACTTATCATAATTAAAGAACTAAACAAAATAGCATTCTGCCATCATGTACTATATGCATAGTTTAGCTTTTGTTTTTTTATCTATCCAATCTGTCGTCTAGGTCGATCCTCATGAACGAGGTTTTTTTGGTAGGGTTCATCGAGGCTTTCTTTATTCGATCAAGGTCAGTTTTATTTTCTTAATTTTTTCTTTTGATCGCTCTAAATCTCTATATTTAAACATATTTTCTTCAAGGGATCTGTTTGATTTTTTTTTAATTTTGATTTCTTGTTGGATCAACAAATCGATTGTTCAAGATAGATTTGTTCCCGTCCCCGGCTGCTCAGGCCATCTCCACTTCGGGTCACATGCTGGAGGCGCCGTAGTAAAGGCTTAAGGCATTTTTCCAGTTTTTTTTTGGGGGGAAGAAGCACTTAGTCATCTCTCAGGTTCTTTTCTGCAACTCTTCCTTTGTTGTCTGCTTACTTCCTTCGAATCTAGTAATGTTAGGGTTTCATTTCATGTAGTTGAACTCTCTGTTTTCCTTTGATTTTTTAGCCTAAATCGAATGGAATTCATAGATGAAAACCGTAACACAAAACTCTCTAGAAAATCCCAAAACCAAACACTCTCAATCCCCAACAGTCTCCAACCCCAACGCTTCCCCACTCATCTTGATGAACCCGATATTTCCCCAACTGTTCGAACCCTCTGCGACCTCCTTACCAATGTTTCTCCTCACGATATCGAATCCGCGCTCTCCGCCTCCGGGATCATCCCCACTTCCGATATCATCCAACAAGTCCTCAGCTTTTCTTACAATCAACCTTCTTCTGCCGTCAAGTTCTTCCGGTGGGCTGGCCGCTTAGTCAAGCCCTCTGCTTGTGCTTGGAACCTCATTGTCGATTTGCTTGGGAAGAATCAAAGCTTTGAACCCATGTGGGACGCCATGCGCTCCATGAAGCAAGAGGGTCTTCTTTCAATGTCGACATTCGTCTCTGTCTTTGGCAGCTATTGTATTGCACATAGATTCAGCGAGGCTACCATGAGTTTTGATGTCATGGATAGGTACGGTGTAGAACAAGATGTTGTCGCAGTCAATTCGCTTCTTAGTGCAATTTGCAGTGAGGACAATCAGATGCCGGTTGCGATAGAGTTTTTTGATAAGATCAAGATGAAGATCCCACCTGATGAGGATACCTTCGCCATTTTGCTTGAAGGGTGGGAGAGAGAAGGCAATTTGGCCAAGGCCAGGAACACTTTTGGCGAGATGATAGTCAAAGTAGGATGGAGTCGAAAGAACATATCTTCTTATGATGCATTTTTGACCACACTTGTCCGTGGGTCTCATGTCGATGAAGCTCTCAGGTTCTTGCAAGTTATGAAGAAGAATGACTGCTTACCGGGTTTGAAATTTTTCTCTACCACTCTCGATATTCTTGTCAAGCAAAATGACTCAACCTATGTTATTCCCTTGTGGGATACAATGGTCGATGGTGGGCTGCTGCCCAATTTGATTATGTACAATGCATTGATTGGTTTGCTATGCAACAACAATGACGTGCATAATGCTTTCCGGTTCCTTGATGAGATGGTGGTCCATGGAGCTTTTCCTGATTCTTTGACTTACAACATGATCTTTCATTGCTTGGTGAGAAATAAGATGGTTAGCGAGGTGGGGAAGTTCTTTGTTGAGATGATCAAGAATGAGGCGCCTCCGATAAGTTCTAATCATGCTGCAGCTATAAAGATGTTGCTTGGGAATGATGACCCTGAAATGGCAATTGATATGTGGAATTACATGGTGGATAATTGCGTCTCTCTCTCGACTTTTAATGAAAGCGCTAACGAGTTACTCATCGGGCTTTGTAACTTGGGTAGGTTGGTAGAAGTGAAAAGGTTTGCCGAAACAATGCTTGATAGAAGAATCAAAATCTTCGATTCGACAATGGATAAATTAAAGGATGCTTTCTACAAAAAGGGTAGAAGTTTTAGAGATAAATATGATAGCCTTTCGAGGGAATGGAAAGATATGAAGTCATGATATGAACTTCTTGTCACATAATTTATATGGAAGCTCTCTTTTTTCTCATTTCGATGACATTATACAGTTGTGTTAATCATTGATGAGCTTTTTCTAGTAAAAGCAGCTTCTCTGTATTTTCCTGCTGATATATCTGTCTTCTTTGTTGTGGTTGTTGCTCTCTTTGCCCAGGTGCAGTGCCAGTGTGTCTTATTGGGTATCTTTTTTCTCCGTTTCTTTCGTGTTTTGTTTGCATTGCATTGCAATGCAAAAACATTGTTAATCTTTGGTTGTCTGCTGCTTTTTTTTGAAATTGCATTGCATGTTGTGACCCAAATTGACATGGTCCCGAGCTACTCGAGTTCGACATGGTCAACACTCGAGTTGAATGGATTGGATTCAAACTCTAATTGAATGGATTGGATTCGAGCTCGAATTTGACTCGAGTTCTTAATGAGCCGAAGCGAGCTACTTGATACCCGAATCGAAAGGCTCGCAAGCAACTCAAAAAAGATAATATATTAAAATTTTAAATTTTAAATTAAATTATTAATAATATTAACATTTATATGTTTTTTATAAATATAATATAAAGTTTTTATGTACTAAAGATTCATGTTCAAACACGAGTTCGAGCTTGAACCGAATTTAAGTATGAGCTTTGATTGAGTTAAGTCTGAAAATATTTCGAGTTCAATTTTTTTGAGTCCGAATTGAGTTTTAATTTTTAATTTCGAGTTGAGATTATAATTTTAAATTTTAGAATTGTTTGCATTAGACTTGGGATTTGCAGTTTGCTATTTCCTTTTGTTATCACAAAAGAATTTCATGTCAATTCTTTTTTGTTTCTTTAATTGTTACGCCCACATTATTTTCATGTAGATTTTTTCGGTGGTCACGGTGTTATCATCAGGATTTAAATTGTAGTTTAAGTCGCATTTTCGGTTTTGTTGTGTTTATCGCGATTGCGGATATAACTGATGCTATTGCAGTCATTGTAGGTATCACGGTTGTGAATTTTTTCTAAATGAGTTGATTTAAAAAAAAAAACTGATTTTTTTAAAAATTAAAATAACAGAAAAATAGTGGAATAACGATCCATTATTGCTGCGATTGCCCGCTATCAGTTAAGTTGTAGTTGCGATCTGACGTTATTAGTGTGATTCCGTTGTATACCGTTATTTTTCACAATAGCGGTCTTGGATGCCGCTGCGATATATCAGCTATGATACCGTTATGCGGCTGCTATTTGTATTATTGTTTATCACCATTAGTGTGTGTTTCTGAACGTGCTGTAATGGCCTCTCCTAAATATTGAACTTGCTGTAATGATCCATTAGAGCATGGCAGGTGGGAGTAATGGCCTATCCCAAATATTGGCTATTCAAGGGGCCCAGGGTGCGTGTGTGTGTGTATATATATATATATATGTACACACAACTTTTAAGTCACGCGTGTCTATTACAGTTGGGTTTGGGTTATTTAGGTGGCTTTTGTTTTGTTTTTCAATCGTTAAGTTATATTTTTGTTATTGAGTTAACGAGAATTAGTGATTGATTGATCTAAATCGAACAAATCAATAATGTAATAGAATAAAACTGATCTTTTTTTGAAGCGATGACTAAAATCGAATGAATAAAAAACGTAAGGGATTATCCATATAGTTTATCCGATCATTAATTCGGTTCAATTTTCCTCAAATAAGCTCAAACCTTGATTAATAAATTAGATATACCTTAAATTTCAAACTCTAAGCTCAGCTCAACTCCTAAATATCAACTCGAGATTTCTATGTCGTTATAATATTATATTTTGATGCTATAATATATATAGCGTTAGGGGTGTTAAATGAGTTGAGTCTCTTTGGCTCAGTTAAAACTCGGCCAATGATTGATTTAGATTGTTTCGATTGAAACTCAAACTTGACTCGAAATCTTAACAAGTTGAGTCGAATAGGCAAGGTCTAAGTTGACTATAAATTTTCGAGTGATTTGTTAATTTTTTTTTATAATTTGCCGAGATCTTAAACAATCATTCCATTAAAAAATCTATATGATAATCAAATAGATAATGAGAAAGATATTATATTACTAATTAATAATTATTACTAATTTACTAATCTATTAATCTAATAATAACTAATAAGAAAAAATTAAATTACTATAAAAAATTATTAAATTATTACATCAAAAAACCAACCCTAATTACCCTACCAAGAAATTGAAGTGAGCTTAATGAGAAACAAGTTGAGTCGAACAATAAGTCTTTTTAACGAGTACGAGTCAAGTAAATTTTTAACGATCTTAACGATCACGAGTTAAGCGCTATCCAACTTGCTCGATAAGCACCTTAGTAGCATGTATCTCCAGGGATGGACCGAGGGGGCTGGTGGGGGTAGTCGCCTCTTGAAAATTAAAATTACCATAAATTTTAATTTTTTTATGTATTTCCAATTGAAAATCTATTTTGCCCCTAGAAATTTAATTCACCCCCGTGAAATTTTAGGTCATCTCCCTTAAGTTTAAATTAAGCTCCAACATAAAATCCTACGTCCATCCCTGAGTATCTCTATAACTAGTTAAGTAATAAAGTAGTTTTCTAATTATCATTCATTTTATCGACGTTGAATAAGTTAATTTTTTTATTAATCAAATAATTCATAAAACAGATCTTATCTTATTAACTTTTGATATATTTATGTTTAAAATCTGTGTGAAACATATGAAGAAAGTAGATAACAACCATAAAGTAAAAAATTTAATTCAATACGCCAATAGCCAAGGATGGATCTAGGTATGGTCGGTGGGGACGGTCACCCCCTCTTGAAAATTTAGATTTACATATATTTTAAATTTTTTTAATGTATTTTCTATTAAAAATTTATTTTAGATTCTTAAACTTTTATTAATTTAAGTACACATTTTTTAAAATTTTATAAGTCCAAGTTCATTCCCTAACATAGGCTTCTATATACAGCCCACCAATAACATTTCAAGCTACTATGACTAGTTCTTATTATGAATCCATCATCTTAAAATTTATATTTTTAAACAAAATAAGGAAATTATATTATTTTTTCTACCCATTTAAATCGCGATTATTGTGCTTAATATTCTAAACTGTTTCTTTCATAGAACGCCGATATATTGTCCTATAAGAAAGATGAAATATTCAAATTACAATAATGTTTAGAACCATAAACGTAAACTAAACACATAACTATGACATTTTCCTATAACCAGAGGTATCAAAATTATCCATTTAAGATCACACAAAGACCGTACAAGAAAAGTTAAAAACCTAATAAAAAAATTTGAACAAAAGATAGATACTAACAAATTTGACCGTATCAACAAACGAGCCACAAAAAGAAATAAAACTATTGAAAGACTATCGATAAATCGTAAATCAGAATCGAGCGAAGTGAAAAAAAAACTATTGGCAAACACAAATCTCGTATCCAAATAAAATCGAGTGTCTAAAACAAAGAAGATCAATATCATAACAAATAAGCATCATCCTAAGAAAAAATATAAACTTAAACAACGACCATACGAATGAAAACATATTATAAAGATAAAATTATTGAAAACTAAAAAAGGAAAAAAAAAGTAAAGAAGTGATATAAAAATTAAAAGAAAAACTAGAAATATCGATGATAACAATCAGTATAAAGATTAGTGTGATCGTCTATTAACCAAAAATAAAAAAAGAAATGAATTATCCTAAGCTTTTTGAGAGAAGTAACCTATCTTAATAATTTAAAGGGTAAAGTATAGTAATAATCACTGAACTTTTTTAAAGCTTTCATTTAGGTCCCCAACTTTTAAAACTTGCAATACATTCCCCGACATTTAGTCCGTTTGCAACATGGCCCCCGACGTAACCGGCCGTTTGACGCCGTTACACTGTCGTTAGTACGTTTGCAATATGATCACTGAACTTTTCAGGCGCTTGCATTTAGGTCCCCCAACTTTTAAAACTTACAACACAATCCTCAATTTCATTCTAAACCTCAAATTCATTTTCGATCTTAAAATTCCTTTTTCGCTTCTCTCTTCTCATTTCCAACGTAACTTTTCAGTCGGGGATGCATGAGAAATTCTAATCTAACTTTGAATTATGTGGAGGTATTGACTTGAATAATGGTCTATTAAGAGAAGACCCGACCAATGGACTATTGGGACCATCAACGATTCAAGGTGTAATGTGTGATACATGTCATCTCAGGTGAAACATAGATGTTCGATGAAATGTTTGTGAGAAAAAAAATGAGGTTAGAAATACATAGTTGACAAATACTACTAAGATGAATTAAATATCATAGTAGAAAATCACCAACAAAGCTGAAATTATTTTGTATAAATGACATATAATAATTTTTTCGTTTAATCCTTGTAGTTAAAGATTTTCCAATAAATGATCAAATATAATGAAATCCCAAACAGCGCATTCACCTCTTGCGGTTAAAGATTTTTCAACACGGTTGCATGATCATATTTTAACTTTTTATGACGGGATGTCAAAAAGAAAAGCTTGCACATAATTTTTTACTAATTGCCAAATAAAAAAAACAATTTTTCTGTTGGACAATTAATTATTTATTTTAAAATTTTAGATAGAGAACATTCATATATTTATGATAAAATTTTAGATACATAGTAATACAGTACATTCATATATTAAAGATTATAGTGTAAGTTCTGTTTATGCAGTGGGGTAGGATGCTTGCATTGCTATGCCACACAGACCTTCCTTTGCATCGACATCCCTTTGCATCCTAATGTAGCCTTGTTCACCCCAGGTACTGCCCCAAGAGTTCTTCACCAACCAATACTTGGTCCCATCGTCATCCTGTCCATATCCGACGGCGGTCACTCCATGATCCAGTTGCGTGCCACAGGGTCCCGTAAATACACCACTGGAGTAGAACTGGAAATCGGAGCCCCCGGCATCAATGGCAACCGAAACGGGTTGGTTGACAACTGCCTTCTGCAGTGCATCTTCACTATTGGCGGGCACATCTTGGAAGCCATTAATGGTAGCTGCATGGTTGGCTTCTTCGTTGGTATTGCATGTGCCATCGACTCCCTTGTAGGGGTAGTTGGATTCGGTTGTTAGGCCTTTGTTCTTTAGGATGAATTGGAAGGCATCGTCCATTAGACCACCTTGGCAGCCTTGATCCTCACCTTTGGTGTCGCAGTCGACAAGTTCTTGCTCGGACAAGGAAATCAACGTACCTGTTGTTAGCTTAGTAACTCCTTCCATGGCTGCCACAGCTGAAAACGCCCAACAGCATCCTGTGAATTAGAATCAGATCAACCCAATTAGTTACAATATCAGCAAAACAAAGGTTAATGTTATTTAAGATTAGAGCAGACCGCATTGGCCTTGGTCCTTGATAGGTGTCACAGCTCCTTTCTTTCTCCAATCCACAGAAGAAGGCAATGCGGTGACGTTTTCGTATTTGAAAGTAGTAGCCTTGTTGGAACACATATGGCCCTTGAACCCATTTCGAGAAGCTGTGAACTCTTCATTGGTTAGATCTGCGAACTGATTGACAGAAAGCTTGTAAGGCTTGTTATTGGCGTTGTTGAAAGATTCAATGAGCGCCACGTTTTGTTTGAAAATGTTGAAACGCTTTTGCCTCTCACTGTTGTCGATGTAAACTCGTCCAAATTGGGACATCCATTGTCGATGCCTCTCGTACATTGATGCATCTTCAAGCGTAGTGCGGGAGGTGGCTTCACACACTAAGTTGGCCCCCACTAATACTACCAAGGCTATTAAGGCCAAATATGTGAATTGCTTTTTGGAACCCATTCTCCACAATAATGAGACTTAATTTGCTTGGTGAATCACAAAAATGATGATCGATTCTTCCTCTTATATACTCCATTTCCCTCCCTTTGGCCTCTATCTCCGTGCCCTGCAAGCAAACTCTTTGAAAATTTAACGCATTTGATACGGGTCATCATTTCTTATACACTCCAAAACTTGGCTCAAATTATGGCTTTAATGCTCATCTTAGCCTTCTACTTCATCTACATATTCCAAGACCTGTATTTTATCGTATTATTGCTGCTGGAAAATGGAAAATGGAAAATCGAAGGAGTCTGATTTTGTATTCAAATACCCTTCCATGCATCAATCAAACCAGACAAAAATGCTATCTGTCCGTGCCGTTTCCTTCATTCATGAAAACGTTTTAAATTGGCTTGATCATTGTCTCTCAAGCTAGAATTAGAGTAACTTGGTGTTCAGTCGGGGAAGGGTTATGATGGGTGAAAAATATGGAAATTTCCTTTAATTTGAATTTTTTTTAATTTCGTAACAACCCAAAACCTAGCTAGAAAGAGTCTAGTTGATCTGAAATGCCACATTGGTCATCAAAACGTCTAACTTATAAAATCAATATCATATCCACATTTTAAAATAATTTAAAACTCGAGTCTCAAAAAATAATATAAAAATATAACTGCATAGATAAACCGAAATAACTATCGTGGGTTATTTAACTGGAGGTATGACATTTACCTAAAATATAAAATAGTAAAAACTTTAATAGAATTTACAAATCAATTATAACTAAAGGTTCATACATTTACACATGTCCACTTGAGAAAGTATTATGTAAATGGTCGAAGTTGAAACTCATACGATCATGATGAGACTACCCGGATAGGAGTCCGGGTATCCAGTCCCATGGGGTTAAACGTTCTCGTGGACAAAGTTCACCGTCGATGCCCAAGAATATTCTGTCGTTTAAAGGATCATAAAAGGTCATTTGTTTATGCATGAACAACATCAAACATCACATTTCATGCTATAAGCCCAAAGGCACCTAAATGCTTCATACAATCATACAAACAACAACACTGCACATGCTGATCTACAAGCTATATAGAAGTGTTGAGAGTTTGTTACATTACAACTAACTGTGGGAGAATTAACCCCAAGCACTACTTCCTCTTTTTCGTTTGCTTTTGGAGCCTTTACCCACTTCTCTCACTAACAACAATCAAAGAAATGAATTACTAAGCTATATAGGAACTTAGGAGAGGTAAAACGTGATCCTTAGACCTTACAAACGGATTAAAATCATTTTTAGGCTTTGAAACTCAATAACCCCAACTTTTGTCACTATGGCCAAAACTCATGATTGGGTGTTTAAATGGAAGCTCTAAAGGTCCTGGTTGATTTCCTTACCTTAAAATTCTGATTTAGGAATGTAGGTCTATCAAAATTTCACCTTTTGTCTCAAACAACAACTGGAGAATAAGAGAGTTTTAAAGGGAAGAAGATGACAAAAAAGGTGAAGAAAGTGAGGGGGAGAACTCAACTTTTTCCTAAGCCTTTCCCGGTTACATCATCACTCATAAATGGTATTTAGCCTTTAAAATGCTTTAGGGTTAATTGCTCCTTTGGTCCTCCCTCATTTATACCCAATTCAAAAATATACTTTTTAACTTTAATTAGACTCAACTCAAGCCCAAATTTACCCATTCTTGGACCAAGTCTTCCCATAAGCTATTGGGTTAATTCAAAACTCTCTAAGATTAGCATGAAGCTACTAACCCGAAAATCAGGACGTTACATACACTTTAGGCTTCTAAACCATATTTTAAATTGAGTTTTGATATCTAAAATATTTTCGTTAAAAATAGATATATAATGTTTCTAAAATTATACTTTTAGGTGTCTAGATTGTAACGGCCGTTAAATTTATCTGTTATCTGGCATGTGTAACGCATATAAAATTTAAGAAAAAATATTTAAAATAACTTATTACATTTTTATCTAAGGGTTAAAGAGTTTGAGATTAATAAATTAATTCCTAACCGTTTTGCTTTATAAAAATCCTTAACCGTATGATACACAAAAGAGAATATTGGCCGTTTGATTGGAGGAGGTATAGAAGTAGTGTTAGATAAATAAAAACCAGGTCTCTTCGTGGCCGCTAATTCTCTCTCTCTCTCCCCCCGTTCCCTCTTCAGCTCAGAGAACCCGCTCCTCGACCCGATCCGATACCCGCTTTTATAACGCAATACGATCCACTGCCCGTAACGGTACTACGTTCTACGCTTTTTTTTCCTTTCTTTTAATTTCACATATGATTTTGCTTTGAACTTCTATTATGATTTTGTTATTGAAGAAATGTGCTTGCAGCGTGCTTTGAGATTTTATTAGTAAAGAAATGTGCTTGCTTTGTGGTTTTGTTTGTTTGTATTGTTATTTTTCATTTCTGGTGCTTGCTATCATGCTGAAAACGAATTGTAATTTTGCTGGATTTTTCACGTTATTTTTTATTTGGGAATAAATTGGCTCTGATTCTTGCATTCCTGCTCTGAATTGAAACACAATTAATTTTTTTTCTTTTAATTCTAAATCCTAGATATGTTTTCTTTTTAAAACTTTTTCGTTAATTTTAGAAGCAACAGAACTGTAAGTTAAACTGGGTGTTATTTGTATTTATTGTTGAAATTCTAGCACGTATGGTTTTTATAGACTGAGGTTTCTTTTAAAAACTTTTAAGGGAATGAAGAAAAAAATGGAAAGAAAAAGTTTTTGGATCTTTCATAGGTGCTATGTTTTCTGATTGTTCCATTAAACTGCTGTTTTATGATGAAATCCTTGTTGGTTATACTATTTTACTTGTTATCTTGTATATATAAGAGATGTCAACTTTGGTAATTTGCATTCTAATTCATTGAACTTAGTGTCGATTTTCATGCATCTCCTAAAACTTTAATTTTATCAAATTAAATCACTGAATTTCTATTTATTTATAAATTATGTCACCTATGCTACCTTCTTTTAAGTAAATTTAATGGAAATACTCCCAGCATGCATACAGAACTTAAGTTTTCACGTCCTTGGTAATTTTTTGTTCAACTTGTATACGTGACCTTTTTTTTATGACTGTCTGTTTTCCTTTCTAAAATGGATTCCATAATGCCGGCATGAGAAAATATTTTACCCAAAATGCTACCGAGGAATTATCTACGATGAAATGTTAAAAATAAACCATATTCGTATGCATGCAGCATGCTAAGTCAACTTTTACATTAAAATTACTTAACAGTGTTAGCATAAGTCACCTGTGTGAAGGCTAATGACATGTTTAATGACCCATAATGTGATTAATCTTGGAATTATGTTGTTAAATATTTTATGCCTATAGGCAAATCCCAAGGCCTTTTAGCTGCTTGTAATTGACAAATACGCAACCAAAACCAGCTTGTGTTTTATCTGATTTTTAAGGTTTGTTTGCAATGGATAATCCTGATTCATGTTAGCCTCAAGGAGATGTTAATTTGTTTTGTTCTTCACTGGTCTTTATAGAATATTTTTTGGGGGGTTTTGCTAATTTTTTCTTGGACTAAACCAGTACATTGAGTTGGGTTTACTATTTTTTTTCTTGGACTAAATCAGTACATTTAGTTGCTTATGTTTTATGCAAGTTCTGACCATTTTTATTTTTTATTTTTAACTTCTTTAAAGAATATATGCATTATCAAAACCTGGAAAAGAAAATGACAGTTATTACAACTTTATTATGTTTTGTGTTATAACCAAATATACTTGTCTTCTTCTCTAGCAAATATTGTGTAAGTTTGAACATTATTTTCCATATGGCAACCACTTATAAACTCCATTACTCAGTATTTGCATTCCAGGTCTCAAGTCAATTTTTCTACTTGGCATAGCATCTTATCTGTTACCTTAGAATTAGATTATCAGCATTTATTGATGATTGACTTTGTTCTAGTAGGATGTAAAAGTTAAAGAACCCTAGGAATTGCCATTACCTTCAGTGTGGAAACTTTGCTATTAATTTAATAGGGCCTATGAAAATGCGAACACAAAAATTATTATTATGTTCCTGTTATAGGAATATTGATGTTTTGTAGACATGTCCTCTGCAAAGGCTATGAACATTTCAGCAGTTTTAAATATTTTTGGATCTTGGACTTGGAATGTTATGACATCCTGTATGTATGTTCTATTGTTTGTTTCTATAAAAAAAATGTGGCTTTTTCTTGGGGCTTCATGATTGCAGTCTTCTCCTTTCTTTGTAGTTGCTTTAATTATATAAGGTACTAAGTTTGTTTCTAATATGCACATTTGCAAATTACTAGGTTCATGTGATGGATATGTCCGATGCGGTCATAGTAAATTCGAGCAGATTGAAATCTATTGTCTGGAACGACTTTGATAGGGTGAAAAAGGGTGACACATTTGTGGCCATTTGTAGACATTGTAAGAAGAAACTTAGCGGATCAAGTACTAGTGGAACCTCGCATCTGAGGAACCATTTAATTAGGTGTCAAAGAAGATCTAATCATGGCGTGGATCAATACTTTTCTGCTAAAGAGAAGAAAAGGGAAGGTTCTCTTGCCCTTGTAACTATTGATCAAGAGGAGAAGAAGGATGAAGTCCTTAGTATTGTAAATCTTAGATATGAACAAGAACAGATTAAAAATGAGCATGTTGGCATCGGTACTAATAGCTTGGATCAAAGGAGGAGCCAATTTGATCTTTCCCGCATGATCATATTGCATAACTATCCATTGGCTATGGTGGAGCATGCTGGGTTCAAGATATTTGTCAGGAATCTACAGCCCTTGTTTGAACTTGTGACATGTAATAAAGTCGAAGCTGATTGCATGGAAATCTATGCAAAGGAGAAGCAAAAGGTTTATGAAATTTTTGATAAGTTGCCTGGAAAAATTAGTGTATCTGCTGATATGTGGACTGCCTCAGCTGGTGCTGCTGCATACTTGTGTTTGACAGCACACTATATTGATTGGGATTGGCAGTTAAAAAGGAAGATTTTGAATTTTGTTGTCGTTGATCCCTCTTATACAGAAGACATGCACTCGGAATTTATAATGAATTGTCTGATGGATTGGGATATAGATCGGAAGTTGTTTTCTATGATATTTGATAGTTTTACCAGTGAAAACATTGTTGACAGAATCAGAGATCGGCTGTCGCAAAATAGGTTCCTTTATTGTAATGGTCAACTATTTGATTTTCGATGTGCCATAGATATTCTCAACCGCATGGCTCATGATGCCTTGGAAGCGCTCTGTGAAGTTGCCCCGAAAATAAGGGAAAGCATTCGTTATATTAAAAGTTCAGAAGCAACACAAGCCACATTCAATGGGCTGGCTGACGAAGTTCAGGTTGAAACTAAAAAATGCTTATGTATTGATAACCCACTGAAATGGAACACGACATATTTTATGTTTGAAACCGCCTTAGAATACAGGAAAGTTTTCTCTTGTCTACGTGATCGCGACCCTGTCAACATGAAGTTTCTCCTATCTGATTTAGAATGGGATAGACTGGGTACCATTACTATCTTCTTGAAGCTATTTGTTGAAGTTACTAATGTTTTTACGAGAAGCAAGTATCCAACTGCAAATATATTTTTCCCCGAGATCTGTGATATTCACTTGCAGTTGATCGAATGGTGCAAGAACACCGATAAATGTATCAGTTCCTTGGCTCTAAAGATGAGAAAGAAGTTTGAAGAGTTCTGGGATAAGTGCAATGTTGGTCTAGCAGTTGCAGCTATTTTAGATCCTCGATTCAAAATGAAGCTCTTGGAGTATTACTACCCACAATTATACGGCGACGGTGCTTCGGTGTTTATTGATGAAGTTTTTGAGTGTATTAAATCGCTTCACCATGAACATTCAATCGTCTCCCCTTTAGCTTCTTCCATTGATCAGGGACTGGATTGGCAAGCAAGTGGTATTCCCAGTTCCGCAAGAGATTCTAGGGATATGTTACTGGGTTTCGACAAGTTCCTTCATGAAACTTCTCAAGCCGAGGGTTCCAATTCTGATCTAGACAAGTATCTGGAGGAACCGCTGTTTCCTCGTAATATCGATTTCAACGTATTGAATTGGTGGATGGTTCACGCTCCACGGTATCCCATCCTATCGATGATGGCACGCAATATTCTAGCGATTCCCATATCCAAAGTTGCATCAGAATCAATATTCGACACCGGGGGAAGAGTGCTCGGTCATAACTGGAGCTCGTTGCCTCCGACTACAATTCAAGCCCTCATGTGTGCACAAGATTGGATACGGAGTGAGCTCGAAAGTTAGTTTTTGCTGCCCTTTGATAAGGTGGGAGGTTAGGCATCTCTTTTGTAGCTCTGCTATTTTGTCAATAATTTTCTGTGTTGCGTTTTTAGGAAAACTAATGGGTTATTGTGATCAAACTCCATATTGATTCCCATCTTTATGCTGATCTGAATCTGTTGCAAGTGAATTAGTTGTACAGTGTATGAAAAGCCTTACTTAATTCCCTGTCTTGATGCTCGTGTCATTAACACCGTAAAGTGAGAAAGATTGTTGGTAGTCACACCGTAGTACAACTATAGAGTACAACTATAGAGATTACGAACTATAGTTTTCTCTGTCTATCACAGGAAAAATGAAAGAAAGAGAGAGAGGAAAAGAAACTTCAAGTTATTTGAAATTCTTAAATTTTGAGATATCTTTAAATTTATAAGAGATTCTCAAAGGGGATTTACTAAAAAAGTGTTATTTATTAATATTCAAACTTTAAAAAGTAATATTTTTTATTTGAAATATTCAAAAAATATTGATATCTTTTAAATATTAAAATTTAAAAATATAATAAATATTTTTTTTTAATTTGAGATAATTAAAAGGATATAATTATTCTATTAATATTTAAACTTAAAGAGATAATAAATATTTTTTAATTCAAAATATTTAAAAATATATGAATTTAATTAACTTCAATTTTAAATAGATAATAAATATTTTTTAATTTAATTATTAAATTCATCAATTAACTTCATTTTTTAATAATCCTCCACGTGAATGAAATTGATGATTTTATCAAAATATTTTGACTCGACCTGGTGAGAGACTTTATGATCAATAGTTGTATAAGATAGTGTCATTTTTTGAATCTTCACTTGTGATAGTATATTTACTTTAATGACTAATCAGTAGGCGTGATGTCCTTGAACTGTTATGTCGATTGTGTAAATGATGATATACTTTACATAACTACCCTTTTCACAAGAATTTTCATATAGTTGTGAACATTGCATGGTTCTGCAAGAGTTTGAAAGAACTATATCCAATGGTCTTCCTGAAGCGACTCTACTTCACTCTTACATAGCTGACTTATGTTACTCGGCTCGCTAAAGCAAACAATGATCATTAAAAGTTTTGCTTAGCCTATACCACTTTGATCATTGTTTACATCATAGGAACAACTTCGGATAAGAGACTCGCACTGTGACTGCACATAATTTATGCTATTAGGTTGTCCCTTTGAAATTAAATCTTGGGATCTCTAGTAAACTAAGTAGGCTTTTCCTTCACATAATGCCTATAATTCCATGGGGTTTATTCTCATTCTTTTAGACATTTTCTCAACTTGATCTCGATCTAACCCGTTGGTTAGCAGATTCCTGGTGTTATACTTTGATCTTACAAAATCAATAGAGATTACTTCATTTAAGATCAATTGTCTAATGATATTATGTCGACAACGCATATGTCCCGATTTACTATTATACATGAAATTTTGTGCTAGTCACAATATATGCATACCGTGGACATATGTTTCAATCATTTAGGAATATCCTCCAATAAATTCTAAAGTCATTTAACTTATTCTCCAAACTTGTCTAGACCTGTAAACTCAGATTCCGTCGTGAATATGGCTATAATAGATTTCATGACACGACTGCATTTTTCGATGTGAAACATGTGCCTTTGATTATAAATATCTTTTAATTTGAAATATTCAAAAATATATTAATATCTTTTTAATATTTAAATTTAAAAAGATAATAAATATCCTTTAATTTAAGATAATTAAAAGATGTATAATCATCCTATTAATATTCAAGTTTAAAGAGATAATAAATATCTTTTTAATTTAAAATATTTAAAAATATATGAGTTTAATCTAATTATTAAATTCATATTCCCTTCATTTTTCCAACACATAATTGATTAGAGTCCATCCTGATTCAATTTGGGATTTTTGTTAAAAAAGTATCGGATGCTAATACAATTTGTTGAAATCCTTAATCGCGACCTTATGGAAAACAACAATCGTGAGATTATTACATGATAATCGAAACCAACATTCACGTCACTGCAAACACAATCGAAAAAAACATGGAAAACATCAATTCTAAAAAGAAATGGATCAAAGAATGCAGGGAAAATGCACCGGTACAAACATTTTTCACATGCACTACATCTACACAATCTAGATGTTGTGCTGGAACAAACGATTCATGACATTGTAAATGATTGAAAAAGAAACAAGTTGAGCTTTTTGCATGAAAAAAGAATAGTGTGTACACTAGCAAGTTGGGGGTGGAGGAACCCACGCTCTCGTACAAATTTTCTCTCGAACCAAACAGGTGAAAATGGAGTCAGGTCTTCATTTATTTACCATAAATGAATGGCCAAAGAATAGGAGAGCAGGAGTTCACATGGCAGTCACCTTCAGTTGTGTCATCCCCATCAGCCAGCAGCAGCAGATAATATTCTAATAATGTAAGGGAGAGAAATTTCCAAAGCCTTCTCCATCAATAGGGTTTTTTAGTGTCAGAGAAAACCAAAACTGGAAGACGTTCTCCCATGCGACATGAAAATGGACTGTTAATGGAATCTCAAAGTTAACATCAACCGGGATAGAATTTTATGTAATAGGGATGAACTTGAACTTATAAAATTTTAGATGATGAAAACAGATTTTTAATAGAAAATACATAGTAGAAAATCTGAAATATATAGTAATTTACCCTACATCAACCATCCTTCTTTTACTAATCCTGTGTTGGGTGATTGATAAAGGGTCAATTTTGTGTCCATCTTCTAAACCAAAAAACTTGCTCCTTTTTCTTCCAACTCAAAACTGTTGTTCAAGCACCAGAGAGCTCAAATTCTCATAGATCAATCCCTTGCCAGGTTTGAGACCATAAGTTGTTCAACTTGATTCATCAAAGGTTTGTTGATCCCTCAAAGTAGTTTAAACATTCATGCCTGTAAAAACTCGGGGGTTGGGCTGTTGTTTCAGATTTCGAGCCATGGAATTCCCTGACGTAGAATCAGAAAGCTCTTCCCAGAAAAAGATGGGAAGAGTCAAAATCGAGATCAACCGGATCGAGAACACCACTAATCGGCAAGTTACCTTCCGTAAGCGACGCAATGGACTGCTCAAAAAGGCCTATGAATTGTCTGTGCTTTGTGATGCTGAGGTTGCTCTCGTAGTCTTCTCCGGCCGCGGCCGCCTCTGTGAATATGCTAACAGGTTTCCCTTCAACCCCTTCCTTTCTTCTGCAAATTTGTTGATTTTTTTTTCATCCTAGTCCATTAAAGATGTTCTTTTTATGAACTGCTCTAAACCTTTTTGATCATGGGTTGTTCTTCCTTTGATTGTTGACAGATATGCAGATGATGATGATATGAAGTAATGGGTGGAAATATAGTAGTCTTTTAAAGAGCAATAAACTAGGGTTGTAATGATATAATGGGTGAAACTGAAAGCAGCCTCTCTTTCCTTGATTCTTACTCTTTTTTTCTTTTTCTTTCTCTCCACATGTCATCTATCACACTTGCAGAAAATTCTGCTAAAACACAACTTGTGTCGAGCTCTCATTACGCCATTTAAATAGCGGTCCACGACAGCAATAGTGTCCTCTATATAATAAGAGTAGTGTTCTTTGCAACCGTTATTATATGACCGCTATACTCAAATCATCGCAATAACACTCGATATATCAACAGTCACGATGAACGAATATCCGATCACAACTACAGTAGGGTGATTGAGCGTTCATTGTCAAATGATTGAAAATATCTAAAACATAATACTACTTTATAATCACATTAACTTAATCAAAATTATATTATGCGATGGAGACAACATGATAAAAGAGTTTCACCATTTATGTAAAGTAATTCCAATTAACTGATGAATAGCTTAAAATTTACAATGTTGTTTAACAGCTACATCGATTTAATATAATATAATATAATATAATATAATATAATATAATATAATGATTAATTAATTAAGTAATTATATTACCTAGATGGTTGAAGATCCTTACCATATCGAAGTTACGGATTTCCTACTATATGCAGAGACTGAAGGCAAAACCTTCTTCCCTCTGCCGTTTTCATGGTGCTCAATCTGAGATGCGTAAACGTCGAGATAACTTCCTGCTCTAACCTTAACGCAAAACCTCACATTTCCGAATAAAGCTGTTCGAGAAATTTACATGTCTGCTCCACAGGCTTCGTACTTCTGGGGGAGCCGATCTCGAGCCATGGCTTGGCAGGGCCAGTGAAATGCAACACAGCAGCAGCCTCCAATATCTGTCCTTGAGCCGAAGAGGAACGGTACCCTAAACCAGCCACTTGCCATAAAGGATCAATAGGATGCACGTATCCCTCGAAGGCAAGTAAGCTTGGTGGAAGCACTCCCGGTTGCCACAGTGCGAACCCCGAATTGAGACTCTGTACAAAACGGATGGTATCCGGTTCGAGAAATTAAATGGACCGAGAAAAACAACATTGATCACCAAATAGCTGAATCAGAAGCCGACGGTTTACTTACAAGTTTCAACCATTTATGATAAGATGATGTGATGTTGGTCCTCCTCCAAGCTCCGAGATCGAAGACGTTCATACCAGAAAGCCATGCACAACGATCTTGGTCAAGGTTGGACGAAATTGTCGGGTGAGAAAAATTCAAGTAGTCCTTGTATTTCCTTCCTGGACAGCAGTTGTCCCCACACCATGAGTCAACAACGGCGCCGACAACTTTCCCGTTGAGATCCAACGTCCACAAAGAAGAAATGTCATGTTGTACTACAACATCATCATCCAAGAATACTATCTTGTCAAGATCCGGAAACAGCTGTGGAACCCAAGAAAGAACATGTCAATGCCAACTGAATTTTAAGGTTCGGAACAAATCACTTATCAGAAAATTCAATGCAGAATTAGAATGATTACTTCAGGGATATAAATGCGAAGATGATTCATAAGGGACAGGCAGCTAGGGCTTAAAGCCTCAAAAAGATTTTGATGCTCTCCCTCATATTCAAAGTTTTCTTCTTCCAGATTCTTGTAGTGATGACTACAAATCAAGTGATGTATTTCCAACATCTGCTTAACTCCAACATTCACCTCCTGAGACCAGTCATATTGATGTAATCCCTTAACTTCCACTACGGCTAATTTCAACGAATTCATTGCGAACCAGGCATGCATTGAGCTGTAAGTTTTCTTGTCTGTTACTATGTGGAACACCAATTTTTCAGAATTTGCTGCTTTCTCAACTGTAGAGGATATCACAACTGAGGCTGCCAGGACATTGTCAGTCAGAAGCACAATATGGTGAAAGGATGTGTCAGAAAGGCGGGAAACATGTTCTGGTGGAGGTAAACGAGAGCGGGCCATTGCATTTACAGCATACTCTTCTGCCAATTTCAGACAGAGGCAATGTAGGCTCTTTGGGACACCCCTTGAAGCTAAATACCAGTACATTAACTCACGCTTCTTTGCTGACTGGACCTTCTGCTCCATATCTAAAAGCTGGGAATAAAAAAGTGGAAGTACTTTGATATATTAGAGGAACGTCGAAGCGTTTACATATATTGAAAGTTACATACTGAAAAATGGAAAATATATAATTTATACACAAAATTTCCTTATACAACCCATCGTAGTAATAAGCACTCATGGCATATCTGGTGGAAACCCAAAATGTTATTTAAGTCTTCAATACCAAAAGTAATCTTTATGTTTGGACAAACAACCAATAAAGACATCGATCAGATAAAATGGCCTAGAAAGTCCAAAACGAGTGCAATGCACCATCTTTGTCCACATGTAAACATGCATCATATGCAATTTACTTGAAAGACATCTAGGTTTAATCTGTCGGGGACTCTGGAGTTATAAATCTAAAGTTCCTCTAGGAATCCATTAGAAAGTACATGAACCCTCTTTTTTCCCCTTTTTGATGAAAACTAAAACTACAGCCATCTTGGTAATTAGAAAATGCTACTGACTTCTAAATGATAAAAGGTTTCTATGATCAAATAACAAATTGGCTCTTAGAAAATCTCTGAAGTGACTCACACTGAATTTCCAACATGCCAACCTCACAATTACATCAATAAAAGTTGTCAAGAATAAGATGTCCTAGTATCCTACACTGACCTGTGAGTAATGCATATGCGTTTATCTCTTGCATTTTCCCCTTATTTTCCTCATGTCTAAATGACCAGTCCAAATCTCAAGTTTCATTCATTTTAAGTTACAAGGCACCCGTTCAACATAAATGCTTCCTAAGAAATTACATATGGTCACATACTATATTCATAGTTTCTTTCATACTTTTCTAAATGAGTATAACTCATAACTATATCACAACCTAGCTTTTCCATTTTTTCCTTCAACCCTTTGTCTTGAGGAAGATAGAACTTTTGAATAATCTTTTCTTTTTCTCTCTTGTTTTCTACTTCAATTTAAGCTTGTGATATTTACTGGTAGTTGCAATAAACGGTGGCGCATTGGGTCTGCAAACTTTTCATTCTCTACCACCGGATACTCTCAAGTTAATCCAGGATGATTTAGATGGGGTGGCTGTACCACGCTCGATATTGATGTAATTTTCCAACATTGTTATGTTATAATTAAATATATTCCTTTTTTACCAAAAAAAAAAAGTCACATAAGACAGTCATGTAGGAAGTGATTAAAGTATTGATTCTGTAATTTAAGTACCTTAAAATTTCCTCATATATTTCTTATTACTAGGGTAGAGAGTGAATTATTAATTAAGCCTAGCTTTGATTCACATCAATTATAAATTAAAAAAAAATGTATAATAACAATATAAATTCAACTTACTACTTACAATGTTCGAGTTAATACACTATTACAGCCTTATACACGTTAGTACAATGTTCTCTAAAAACATTTCGCTGGCAGTATTGAGCACAGTTCCACAGAAAAGAGACAGTTATTCTAATAAATGAAAGAACAGATATGGACATGCCGGCATATAAAGACAAGAATAAACTGAGCAAGAGTAAATTACCATGGTCTTAGTCTTGAAAGCAAAGTCCTTTATATCTTGTTGCTTAGACGTCATCTCCTTCACAAGCTCATTGAATGTTACAAGTGAATCCTCTGTTCCCCCCTCATCAGTGTTGCCATCTTTCACTTCCATTAGTGCCCTTGTCAGTTCTTCTCTGAGTTTCTTTACGGTACATGCATAATATCACAATCACAAACTAAATCAAACAAGCTAGGAAGTATAAACAAGAACAAGTACTATACATGACACATACACAGTTTTATAAAGGTATCATGCAAATAGTATCATTAGGATTCAAATAGCTCAAACTTTTATGCCCAAAACCTCATCATACCCCAAATTATTCGAATAGAGGGTCTTATAAGTTTTACTTGCCTCATTTTAGGCCACCTATGTCTTTATTTCTCTCTTGTTTTCAATCCGTGTAACATATTTACACTGATACTTCACTTTATACTTCCACTTTTTTCAACATTTAACTTTATAGTTTTCTTTTATTTCTTCCTATTTCCTTCTTTAGAATTTTTAATTTTGTACATTATTGAGTTCAAATTTGGAAACAATGAAAAAGAAAAGCTTTAACTGCATTCAAACATATCTTGAGTCTTGAGTCTTGACCATGTTTTGACATTATCAGTTTTATTATTATTTTTAACATGTAATTGCATGAGCAATATGTACTTTGTTAAGTTAGAACTAGAAACATCTGACACTAGTCCACACCCTAGTATGAATGTCCTTGCTTCTAGATTACAAGCCTTAAAATATTCCATTTATTTATCTTTAGACAGTTATTACATGCTAGATACACTTTTTTCCATATCATAATTATGTGTCAAACATGCATTTATCATACGGAAATTGTTTGTTCTACTAGACTACAAGCCTTTCAAACCTTTGATTTCACCAAACCGTGTTGATATACACGATGACTAAAGATGATTAAAATGTTTTTACATAAACGTGTGAGCTGTTGCCTGGAGTTCGACTTCTTCCAAACCAAGCAAAATATCTACCAGTCAGCTAGTTTTCATTGAGAACATAGTGAAAGAAGAAAAAGAGTAATGGAAAAAGCAAATTCCCGTCCAAGTGGAGGAATATCATATGATGACGACGTTAGGAACTAGACAAGCATAATATCCGTTGAAATATTGCTGGAAAAAGCAAATATAATACCCTAATCCAATCACTTTTGAATTTTCATTTTCCTCCTATTTTTCTAGTAGAAGTTGAAACCTACAACATGAAGTCATTCAAGTCTTGACATAAGCAATTTGATTTTAATATATATAAATAAATTAAATTAAAGTAGTTAGAATATGTACTATTACTCCCTTTGTCCCATCAAATCTGTCCATTTTATTTTGTCAATTTTTTTAACTTTGACTCATTATTATTTAAAATTTATTATTCATAAAAGTATGAAAAAATATATTTTCAAAACCTTAAAACAAGTAATTTTTAAATATATATTTTATAAAATTTAATTATTTAAAATAATCATAGTCAAAGTTTAAAATTTTTACTTTTAAAAAGTCAATAATGAACATATTTAGCAGGACGGGAAGAGTATTAAATATATGACTGGGTTCCTTATTTTAAAGGATAATAAATATTATTTTAATGATGCTTTTTTTTTTCTTTACATACTTTCATATAAAATTGAAATAAAACAATTAAAGACCATCATATGAGATTTGAATATAAGACTACTAAATTTATACTTAAATTTTTTACCACTTCACCTGTGACCATTTTTAATTATATTTTTCTAAATATATCTTAGATAAAATATTTTCGTTCACTCAGGTCGAGGTTGTAACAAAATCTAGTGGACTTTAACTCTAAGACAAAAATTTAAATTTGAATTACCAAATTATAATAAAATAAAATATAGTAAACCGTGATATTCTCTATTTTAGAAAAAAATATAGGATTATTATTTGATAAATTAAATATTTTTTCTCACAAACATTTTTAATCTACTACTACATATCTTTAAATTAATATTTAGATAAATATTTAAGAATAAATTATGATAAAATAACGCTAATTTTGGAAAAAATAACTAATCAAATAATTATCTTAAATTATAGGGTTAAGTATATGATTGATCACTTATGTATGCGTTTTGTTGACTTTACATCATTGATTTCAAAAAAAAATAATATAGGATCACTTTCCTTTTTATTTAATTAAGATGTGGTCACCACAAGTGAGTTACCGCTAAATATTTTGGTATAATCCCACATTTGTTTCCTGTTATTTACATATTCTCTCAATTTAATCATTTTTAATAAATTAAAATAAATGCTACCACGTATCGTGCCACGTGTCACCATTCGGTTGGAGAACTAACTTAATTTTAATTTATTTTAATTTAATATATTTATTTAAATTAAAATAAAGTTAATCCTACAACCAGATGGTGACACGTGACACCGGTGGCACGTGGCATCATTCAATTGGAGGATTAGATTTATTTGAATTTATTAAAAGTAGTACTAAATTGAGAGAATATACAAATAACATAGGCTAAATGTGTGATTATACTAAAATATCACATAACATAATAAAAAACGAAAGTGACTACATCTTAATTAAATAAAAATAAAAGTAATCATATCTTAATTAAATAAAAAGTAAAGTGATCATATATTATTATTTTTTAAATCAATGAAGAAAAATGAACAAAACACAAATATAAGTGATTGATCATGTAATTAACCCTAAATTATAGTATCAATATTAAAAATCAAAGACTAGCATTATTATCCTATATCTTGTCCTAGACATTGACAACATAGGTGCTTCCAAATGCAAGAAAACACAAAGCCCACCCAATTCCAATGCTACCTTTACCATCATGGAACACGCGGCAATCTACTAGAGCAACTTGTTTAGTACAGCCTAGCATGATCGGAATTCCTTTTTCCTTGTTTGTTTCTATTATTATTTTATGAAAACCTCTAAAAATAAATTTAATCAAAAACAAAGAAAATAAAAATAGGAATCTACTTTAAAAAATCGCATATTCATTCATATAAATCATAAATTTTGCATATTGATTATACTAACCTTAGATATGTAACCCCTGCTAAAAAGCCTCCATCCTTTGCATTCTGCAAACCCCATTAAAATCAATAATTAATCAATTTTTTTAACAAAAAAAAGGAACACTCTAATCAAAATAGTTAAAATAAGTATAAACATTTTCAACTTTGAAACTAACATTTTTGTAATTAGGGGGAAAAACTTAAATGGCTTAGTGGGAATGTGTATGTGATTGAGCAGCTCAGATGATAATCCTCACACAAGTAACAATTATTGTATGTAAATCTATTTCAGTGGGGGGGGGGGAATACAGTAGAGCCTAGGGACACGAAGCAAAGGTATACCAACAATAAAGCAGGAATTTCTGTTTTAAAAAACAGCAGTAAGATTCAGTTAAAACGAACTGCTGAGCAATATGAAATTACCGATCGGCGAAGAGCAAGAAGATGAAGAAGCAGATTCAAGAACCAAGAAGGCAATCCTAACGAAAAGGAAAGGCAAAACGATCCCCAACACCAAGACGACCGGTAACAGCGTTCGTCTCGATAGCCGTCCACGCGCAGCCGCGGCACTTGTTGCTGCCACCGTGGCTCCTTTGCTCCCTCCTTTTTCAACGGAGTTCGATATTGTAACCCTCTTTATCCCCGTTGTTGATATGTAGAACTTCATGATTCTCCCTCGACTTTCTCCTCACTTCCATTCAATCCAAACAAGATCCACTCGATCATTGCTCAACAGCGGCATTGAAATCTTTGGGAACAAATGGCTTTTTTTAATTAATTTTTTACAAAGATTTTTTTTTTTTTTTTGAATCGAAATAGGAGTAGAGAGTTGCTAGTGTGAAAATGCGAATGTGATTAATTTGGTGGGAGCTTTTTTTCCCGGATAGGGGGCTTGGTTTTATGTCGAATTACGGATCTGTCCCTTCGATTTTAACTATTCTCACCGACAACACAGAGAATCTAGTACGTGGGTGAGGCCTGCTGTCTCCCTCTTGCAATTTAACTCGGCAAAATTAGCTCAATATGACACTAAATTTTTTTATGGTATTTACTACAGTAATTTAAAATTCGTTACGTGAGTATGATAAATTTTTATAAAAATATATTTTTTCATTGAAATTTATCATTCCAACATTATAAAATTTAATAAAGAAATTATGTTTTTCCCTTCATCTAAATAGGAATTGTTAAGAGAAAAAAAGCTTATATTGATATATATATTTAAAATTTTACAAGTCAACATGAACTAAACGACTTTAATGGTAAATGAATTGTTATTCCTTAAAATATCGAGTTCGAATATTAATAATTTCAATGATAAACATAAATGATCATTGGTTTTTCATGACACTAAAATAATAATCATGAACATGAGGAAGCACAATGATTTAAAAAATAAGTACGTGCATGAATCAACTTACTTAGTGGTTAAAAGGAATTGTTGTTGTTCTTGAAGGTTATGAGTTCCAGTACCAGTGGTTGCACCAATGTGATTGAACATTCATTGTCGAATGATTGAGAGTATTTAGAACAGATTCTACTTTGTAATCACCTTAACTTAATAAAATAAATACGTAGGAATAAAATTATATATGAAATTTATTGAATGGGGCACAATAACTCTATAATGATAACAAAGCACCATAGACAATGGCCAGGTTATTAACAATAACAAATATATAATTATAGTTCTATTAAGTACTCGATGATCAAAATTCATCAAGTGGTTTTAATAAAAAAAGAGGAATGTTGTTCTTACTTAGAGGTCGGTTTTTTTATTGGGTTCAAATACATATTTGATGAGTGAATCCTTGATAGACAGTATCTCAGGGAACTCAGCCTTGAGCTTTGATGCATCCAACTCATTATTGCTCCTTTCTGCAACTACAACCTTGGCTTGTTCTTCCAAGGTGAAATTAACCCAGTTGAAGGTAGGGTCAATGTAGGCCTTGTACAATTGCAGAATCTCATTGTGGCTCACAACACCAGGGTTTGTAAAGTTCCATATCCCCCTCAAGTTCCTTTTCGCCATCTCGATCGAAATCGGTAGAAGCTCGTCTACCACGGTCATGCTGTTGGGAATGTCGATTACCTTCTCGTGTTTCGTAATCTTCGCGATGAAGTTCCCTGGCCTGCTAAGATCTGATGATATAGGCATCCGGCCCCTGAGAGTGCACACATTGTCGAATTCCCTCAGAAGATCTTCAACCTGGCATAAAACAATAGGAAAGTTTGAAAAAGAAGATCAATGGATCGTCGAAGGGTGTTAGATTAAGGCGTTATACCATGGCTTTGGTTTTGGAATAGAAAGAACCACTGAAATTGGGCTTATCTTCCTCCTTGAAACCGATTCCAGATCCTAGAGGATGAGCAGCATCGTATTCGAAGATACAACCAGTAGCATAATTGATCATTAGGAGGCCATGTTCCCTGCAAACGTCTGCCAAGGTTAATGTACCAACAACATTGGTCCTTATTGTCTCGGCCTTATGTGTCTCACACCAGTCAACATTTGGTTTGCCAATCACATTAGCTGCATTGAAAACATGGGTTGGTTTAACAGTTTGGATATCAGCTAAAAGCGTTGAACGTTGCTCCAATCGCCCTTTCCCGTACTCGAAAGGTATGCCTTGTTTCTCACATAGCTTCCCCAGAAGTCCTCCTATCCAACCTGTTCTTCCGTAAATCAAAAACTTGAGGGGCGGCTTTCGAGACAGTAGATTGTGTTTTGTAGATGGAACCAGCATCTTTTTCTGACTGGGAGCCGAATCTAAGTTGCTCGTGTCGGGGGCATTAGTTGCATTTGTGATGAGGATGCTCTTTGGTGTGTGTGTCTTAGCCATCTAAAACAACACAAGCAGTACAATTTCTAAAGCTTCTGTGAGGAGGGAACATTAGTTGAAGTGAGCTATTTATAAATCAATTAAGAATTAATGCAATTCTGGATGGACATAATACTTTGCATTTGTTTCCTCGTTTCTCCTTGTTGAAATTGTTTGGTGCAAGTTGCAGCACCGAAAGGTGCAAAATTAATGCACCGAAAAGGTAGCCGGAAATTGTTGATTTTTTTTTACAATGGTAAAATCTCAATTTTAGTCATTGTAATTTAGGGTATTTATAAATTAGTCCTTAAGCTTTAACTATAAATACTCAAGCTCATTTAGCTTTAAAATCATCACAAATCATTCTAGTTTTCTCCCAATATTAGAGAATTTAGAGAGTTTCTTGAGAGTTGTTTTCTCTTTTTTATCAAGAGATAATTATCATTGTTTTCTCCTTGGTAGATCGAGAGAGGCTGTAATTCATATTTTCTCATAGTGAAATTCTTCTACCGTTGCCCGTGGTTTTTACTCTATATTATTTAGGGGTTTTTCACGTAAATTTGTGTCTTCTTTATCTTTATTTTTTATTTTCTCAAATTATCAGTTGCGATTTTATTCTATCAGATAGCCGTCTTCCGCAACACTCCTTTCATATTTAGTTACATAACGCCCATGTTTGGTCCATCCCAGTGCATGATCCCAAAGTTTCAAAATTAATATCATCAAATATTAAATGTTACAAAATAAATAATCAAACTATTTCTCGCTTTAATCAAATATAACAAAAATATAAATCTTGAAACCTAAAAATAATTAATTAAATCAAACATTGTAAACATATATTGATCTAAGAACAAAAATATAGATATGCCAAGTAAAATTAATTATGTATAAATGAACTTTTTAAGATTATACAAAATTGAAAATATCCTAAAATGTTATTTAATCTTCATTTAACCAATACATGATTTATCCGCCTGAATATTTAGCTCTGTTTTGAAAATCGGATCGGATCGATCGGTTCAACCAGAAATCGTTGTTTAGTCCGGTTCAATCTAAACCGGTTGAACCGCTATTTATTGAACCGGCTAAAACCGCTGAACCGTTTGAACCGGACCGGCTGAAAACCGAAAAAAACCGGGATTTTTGTTTTAAAAAAAAAATTAAACCAAACAACGTCGTTTGTTAAACGAGCCAAGTCGAACTCGAGTATTGCTGAGCTCGACTCGAAATTGAAAACTTTAAAAGTAAGTTCAACTCAACTCAAACTCACAAGCTAAAAATTATCAAGTTCAACTCAAACTCGAAATATAATATTGAAACTTGAACTTAAAAAGGCTTGAACTCAAAAAAAATTAAAAGCTCGATTGAAGCCTAAAATTCGAGCTTGATTGAAGTGAAAGAATATTTCACTCAATGTTCACCAAAAGGCTCAATGATTTTGAATGCCAAATTCTCTATTATTTATAGAAGTTAATTGTTATGCGCTTCTATGTTTCTTAGAAATGTGAGATTGTTTTTGTTCTTATATTTTTACTCTTTAGACTTTTGAGATGCTCTTCTATGTTTCTTATGTGGGATTGTTTTTAAAAAAAATTAAACCAAACAATATCATTTTGTTATGATTTTTTAACCCCAAATTTATTTTTTAATTATACTTATATAATTATATTTATTATTTAATATGTTTTACCTTAAATATTATGTTGTAGTTAATTTGAATCATTTTGTTTCACTTGATTTTATGGTTTTTAACTTATATATATTATGACTTGCTTTGAATATGACTTGTGATATAAAAAATTATTTTTTATTAAATATTTTTGGTATTTTTATTTAATTTTTTTAAATAATTATGACGTCGTCCGGTTCTTCCGACCGGTCGGACCGGTTCGACCGGTTGAACCAGTGAACCGGTAGCATGATCGGTTCGCTAACTGGTTCGATTCTGAAAACCATGATATTTAGGCAGTAAACCTAGCTTGAACAAGAGAGAAGGTTGGGGTTTTGATGAAAAGGTAAATATTACATTAAGAATACAAGTAAAAACCTTATTAAATTGTGTAATAACATAAGATTTTAATGAAATAAGATTCCATAAAATTTATGTCTTTGTTGATGTTCGGAAACGATGAGAGCATCCGAATTACTTGAATGACATTAATATGATAGAAAGAAGATTATCCTGAAATATCCAAACTAGTTTGAATACTTAAAATCCTGATCGGACGTTGTGAAGTGACTCGGACACTTAAAATGCTCCGCCGATCAACTTCCCCGGGTCTAGATTTTCGAGGGCAAAGAAAGCAAGGGTGAAGATCGTGAATATGTTGGAGAAAGTGGTGGCCGAGAAGAGGCAAGAAATGGAACAAGACACCACGGGATGATGTTGTAGCACTGTGCTGGCACGACTGGTGGCCGCGATGATCAATGGTGTTCGCGGCTCATGACACGAAATCGTTCGCCATCGCCATGCCCTTCAAAATGTTGGGTCAACATCCACACTGCTACTCTAGAATCCTTCAAGGTGTGGTAACCATCTTCCTCCTGTGAAACCCTAAACTAAACTCGAGGTGAATTTCAGCAAAACCCTATTGTTTTTTTGACAGAGCATGATGATGTGATGAAGACGAACAAGGAAGGTGAAAAACTGACATTAGAAGATGTTAAGAAAATGGAGTACAGCTGGGAAGCCGCTCGAGAGAGCACGAGGCTGTTCCCTCCGATATTCAGCTCGTTTAGGAAAGCAGTTGCGGATATTGAATATCAAGGATTCACCATTCCTAAAGGCTGGAAGGTACATAGCTCTACTCATTAATTCCTTCGGTGAAGATGCATGCATGGGGAATGGACCGAGGGGGAAGGGTGGGAGTAATCGCCCGTGAAAATTTAAAGATGTCATACATTTTAGATTTTTTTTATATATTTTAAATTTTTTTTATGTATTTTTTTTGTTGAAAATCTAATTTTTTTCTCTAAAATTTTAGTTCGCCTCTGGGTTTAAATTCACTCCCCTTAACATAAAAACTTACGTGTGCATACATGCCTAATGGTTTCGCATTACAAGCGCGTAATATGTAGGTGTTATGGACGGTACATTACGATGGAGTGTGTTTCAAAGATCCAAGGCGATATGATCCCGGCAGGTTCCGAAAATTCGTGCCGCCCTATGTTTATGTTCCCTTCGGAGGTGGACCGAGAAGCTGCGCCGGCTATCAGCTTGCTAAGCTCAACATCCTCATTTCCTGCATTACGTACTTACCGGTTACGACTGGTCATTGCTTCATCCTCATGAGTCCATTATCATGGATCCTCTCCCACTTCCATCTCAAGGAGTGTCCATCTACATTTTCCCAAAACCCCTAAATGATTCTTTTCCCCCTTCAAGTCTAAATAACATGTTTTCTTTTCTTTTTCAAATAATGATCTTCTATTGTGCCCAAACACGGAATATACCCACCATACATGTAATTAGAATAGTTAATGTCTATACATTTTTCTTATAATTTTTTCTACGAGTTTTAGGTCTAAGCAGCTACGTTTAGAGTGTGTATACGTTGTCAATAAATTAAAAAATCTGAACATATACTATTTTATAATACTAAGCTACTCAAAAAAATATCTACCATTAAAATGGATTTGTTATAAATAAAGTGGTACTATTTCAACAAGATTAATTAATGATGAGAATTATTTTGACTAGCTAATGGCTTATAAGATCAAGATCAAATTAAAATACAATCAATAGGGTTAACAAAATTAGATTAAAAAAATTATCATTTCAACTCGACTCGAAAAAAATTGAATAGAATTGACTTTGAACCATAATTTTATAATCTCAATTCAACTAGAAAAAATTTCAAATTCGAGTTGAATTATAAAATAAAACTTGAATAATAATTGTAATAACTCAACATTTATAGTAAATAGTGAATTGATTTTTAAGTTTGAGTTTAGTCTCGGAAAGATATATATATATATATATTTAGTCTTTTCCGGACGTTTTCCCTCTTCTTCTTCTTTTTATTGGTCTTGGTCTTGGGGATCTGGGTCTCGATTATTCACGTTATTCTGGCTGAATGAGGGGTAGAATTGTTGTAAAAAGGTGGATTTCTGATCTGGGTTCGTGTAGCTGTTGGTTCTGTTCTGATTCTCGTGCTGGGGTTGGGTGAAATCGTTGGTGGTTGTGGGTAGAGTTAAAGAACAGAGGGTTTTCAGGTAGGATTGCTTATTCCTGGGGAAGGAAACATTGATGATGATGGGTTTTTCTCTGGATTTGAAAAGAATTGGGCGTGTGGGAAGGGAATAGCAGCAGTTGGGGAATGCAGCAAGTACAGCCGGCTTCATCTCCATTGTATACTATTTGTTTCCATTTTACTCGATTAACAAATGCATTTTACTTTTCTTTTTACTTTCCTTTTTCTTCACTTCAAGTGAAGTTGCGATATTGATTTGGGTTGCAATTCGATCGGTGCGTTTGGGGGATGTGGATTGGATTGGATTCACTCTTCCATCAACCCCAAATTTGCCTCCTTTATTTTGCCAACAATAATATAAAGGGTAAACTACTCGTAAAATCATTAAACTATTGTATTTTATATTTTGATCAACGATGTTTCTATTTTATTAACCATACCATTTAATTTTTTTAAATATTTCAATCAAATCACTTATAGTTAATATTTAAAGGAGATGATAAGGTTTTTAAAAATATTGATATAATTATATATTTAATTATTAATATTTATACATTCTATTTTCATATGTCCAACGGTCGTAAATTTGTATAAAACTAAAATATATATTATGTAAGAGGATCATAAGTCATAACCATATATATATATATATGGGGCAATATCCATTTACATCCACAAGGTCGAGCCATAATTAAATATTGGCATGGGCCAAAATATTGAACTTTTTAAGAAAATTATAATATCTTATTAGATATTTAAACTTAAAATTCAGAAGACAATGTCTAATTTGTCTAATATTTAAATTTACAATGACCTAAATTGTTATTAAATCAAAATATCGTGAACATTGAATTATTTTTCTTTAATTTGACCCCTATTTGATTAAATATAATAAATTCTTGTATTTTTAAATTTGAATACTTATTTTTACATGAATTAAATATTATTATATAAAAGTTTATCGAACATAAATTTTTTTACAGGGGCCAGGGCCCCTTTAGGACTATTAGATGAGAGAACTTAAAGGTTGGGATTCACAGCGGGAAATGAGAATATATTCAATGGAAAAAAAAACAATGAATTAATCTAATCATTTAGTTTCTCTCACATCAGTGATCCTAAAATATATAAAACTCTCAATTTTACATTGGTGGTAAGTAGATCATAACCAATGTATATATAATTTAGATATAGCCTGCACCATTAAGGTCGAATATATTAGTCACTAAGGTTATATATAAATTCATGTGTTCGATAGTTAACCCTTGCCATTAAGATTGCTTGATCCAAAAAAGATGTTTCAATGGAGGCCTTATCATTATCTCCTATGTCCTCGTCCATCGTCCTAACCCAATACGACTAAAAAATCAATGTTTACAAAGTAATCTGGGTCTGGACAACAGCACCACCCTTGTTTGGTTGCTATTGTGGAGGCAGATTCTTGTGGAGTGGTGGTGTATAGATGTCATAGATTGACAAGATTTTATGTCATGGGATAAAAATAAATTTTTAAAATTTTACGAGAACTTGATAGAGGGCATAATTATAAAAATTAATTAGTAAATTGGTATATTATTAAAATATATAGTATTATTTTTAGAATTAGATCACATTCAAAATATAAAAATTAAAGATTAAATTTATTATTATATCCTTTTTATTATTATTATTTTTATTGAAATGAGGTGAATATAAGGTAAATATATGTTAAAAAATTCTTAATCATTTGACATTCAATGTTAATATACCTCTATAAACATAATTATTTGAATATGAAACTTTAAGATATAACGATATTTTTTTATTCACTGAAGTCACTCAATGGGTTAATTAATCTTATTAATTATCATGCAATCTTTGTTAATGTTTTATGGTAACTATTGAATTGGTATTTTTTCAAGTTGGATAATTATTTTATAAAAAATTTAAAAAAAAACGTTAATCATTAGATTATTTATGTATTTTACAAGTACAATTGAAAACCCAAAACAATTCCAAAAAAAAAATTAGCATAAAACAATAAAAACCTAACCTCGTTGATCTTCCAGAGCAGCAACCATCCACCGCCACTATCACTTCCTACGGAATAGATAGGCCACGGCAGCCGCGAACAGAACCGCCGCTGATCCCGCCGTTATCCTAAACAAACACGCTTTGAAGGCTTTAACCGTCGACGTTTCTTTATTGCCTTCACTCTTCTTCCTTTCCACCACTTTCTTCAACTCCGATATGTTGAACTCCAACATCAACGCCCTTTCCTCGAATTCTAACGTTTCCGCGTTGGTTTTCTCCAGTTCAAGCCCCGTCCTCGCCGCCTCGGCTTCCAGTGCCTCGACTTTCTTCTGCAATCCATCGATTTTCTCCTTCATTTCCTCTTCGGTCCGTACGTTTCTACTCCTTTCTCCTATCTCCCTCACTTGTAGAATCCCTAATCTCCTCTCCATATCCCTCTCTTTCCTCTCGATCTCCATTTTCTCTTTCTTCAGATCATCCATCTCCTTCTCCAACGATTCGATCACCGCCTCTTTCTCTTCCAGACCTCTCTTCAGATCAACCGCCTCTTTGTTGGCCTCGTCTATTTCGCGCATGGAAGTTATGAGATCGTGCTGCAGCCTGAAGACCTCGTTTTCGAGATCGGCGGACCTGGAGGCGAGCGATTCGAGGACGGCGTTATCATCTTCCCATTCGTCCGGTTCAGGTTCCGCCTCGTCTTCCTTGTTTCTTAATTGGTCAACTTGTAGGGTTAGGTTCTTGATCTTCTCCTTCACTTGTTTGTTCTGGTTGCCGAGTTCGAGCTTTTCTTTCTCGAGCGCTTCGACTTTCTGAGTGAGATTGATTAGCGTTGCCTCGTCCTCATTCTCGTCCGTGATTATCGGATCCTCCTCCATGTTGTTTGAATGCCTAGAAAATCACAGAAGAAAGTAATAAGCAACGAATAAAGCCTTGTTTAATACTGGATTTCCATGGAATGAAAAGCTTTGTTTTGTTTGGAAATGAAGAGAAAATGGTAGATTCGAAGAATGCGGCAAACCAACGGTCACGCGGGAATTGATGAAAACCATTTTTGTGTCTTTTATAAATAAATATTAAAATACTACCGAAAGCATTTAAGTAAATATAAGTTAAAATACACAAATGATTTTTTTTATTATAGGACGTTATTTAAAAAAATATTATTAAAATTTATAAAATGATCATTTAATATTTAACTGTTACAAACTAATTTATTTCCGTGCTAGCTTATCTTAGTAGTTAAATAAATTATGATTGTTCCCAGAGGTCATGGGTTTGAGCACCAGCGACTGCAACCAAGGTGATTTAGATTTCATTCTCAAATGGTAGAGAGTATTTAGAACAAATATTACTTTATAATCATTTTAACTTAATAAATAAATAAATTTTATCATATATCTATCAATACGTTAACATCCAATTTAAACCCAATTTATACAGTAATCAATTTTCAACAAAAATATTTGTAAGATCTTTTACTTTAAAAATTATATTAATTTAATCATTCAAATATTAAATAAATTAATTTAATCTCTATAGTAAAGATTCATTTAAATTAATCCATTTACTATTAAAAAATAATTTAATTCTTGTACTTAAAAAATTTCAGTAAGACATGTTCCAAAAAAAATTCAATTAAGCCATTTTTTATAAAAATTAAAACTTACTGTTTAAAAAATGACATTATCATTTAAAAGATTCAAAAAAAAAATCAATTACTGCTTAAACATTATTAATATTTTTATAACCTTTCTGATTCTACAAATAAAATCTTGTTTAAAATGAAACTACAATGAAATAATAATAATTTTAATACATTTTTTTAAAGTGTAAATGTTGAATATGTAAAATTTAACCTTATTTAATTCTTTTTACAAATACAGTGATTAATAGTAAAAGAACTAACTTGAATCCTTTTACAGATTCCACCAAGTCCCATCTATGCAAAGTATCCCCGGCTAATATATCCTTGTCATGCTGTACTGAACAGTCCCGACCTTCCGATGAGCGGTGGTTGTCGCAACAGCAGTTGCGGCGACACCTATTCCGCCATATTGAGCTTTTGCCTGTAACAAGTTAGTGTCGTTGGCAATTCTATTGTCTGGTCATGAAAAATGGATTAGAGTCGATATCGATAGCTATATCCGGTGCAAATCTGGCTGCCATGCAACATATAGGACCCTGTTTAGCTTGGGATGGAAACTCCCTTCCAGATCTTCCTTCATTTCCTAAACTAGACTTCTGATAAGAATATGCACGGTGGACAGCCAGCCAGCGGTGGAACGCCTACGCTTCTTATGAACATTCTTGGATCATAAGAATCTTTCATGATCGAACCGTTCTCAAACAACGCGACGGGACCTACCGTATTTCCCGGTTTAGCTGAATCGAGAAAATATATTGGTTCAAGCTCCAATGATAAATAAAAGAAAAATTAAAAGGGCAAAAGAGAGAGGGTGAGCTAGATGCTCAAAAACATACCCACTGGGATTGTTTGTTGTGCTTGCGGAACGGCTTTGGTTTGCCTGGAAATTTTGCTGTATGCCTCTTCTGCAATCTGCCTCTCTTTTAAGGACTTGAGGCTTGGTTGCTCTTTGGGGGCAATGGTATTGGAATGTACAATTGTTGACCTGTCACGATTCATACTTCCAACCATCAGATTAATGCCCCCAAAATTAAATGCTTATTTGCAATTACCAAGTTCTAAAACCTCAAAGGTTCGAACACCAGCCGTTGTCATCAGCGGCTATAACAGGGTGCTTGAGCATTAATTGTCAAATGGTTGAGAGTATTTAGAACATATACTACTTTGTAATCACCTTAGTTTAATAAAGAAAAATTCCAAAACCTCATTCCAACCTGATATTTAACTATTTATCATTGTTTTTTAAAAATGATGGAGAAAAACACAATAGAAAAAAACTTCTAAAATTGTTTTTAAAAAGTGCAATTTCAAACTTAACTGTTTGGGATTACTAGGAATGAAAATGAGCCTTTATGCAGCGTTTCCACATGCATGTTTGCTTTTACCAAGTGAAACACATCCATACTTGGAAGCTTTACTTCATCTTATTTATTTCTAATTCAAATTCTCAAAATTTCAATCATGAGGATTAGGGGATCCTGGAATGCAACAGAAACCTAAGCATTAAGAGTTAGATTCTTCATCTTCCCCTCGAAGAGCTTTTCCACTATAAAAGTACAAGCAAGGTATTTTTGGCTCTCAGAATTTTCTACTGCACTATATTAAGCATACCATATATTATAAGTGCATGAGAGTAGTATATTTATGGAAGGCCGCAAGCCCGAATTCGAGCATCGATAGTAACAAGATTGAAAGTAAAAGCTAAAAGGTACAGTATAGTATCTACCTTGGAAGAGAGGCATGCTTTCTTTCTAGGGGAATAACTGGTGCACTTCTACCACCGTTTTCCTCGAGATGCGCAAACTGCTCTCTGAATTGATCGACCGCACTGCATAAAAAACTATACGTTAGAAAATGAACTGCAAGTAAAAGCAGATTGATCACTAATGAACTAAATGAAACCTCGGATAGAGGAAGTTTGTCCTTTCGGTTCCACTCATATGGTCTTTCAGCAGCTGAGGATGGTATTCGAGTATTTCGTGGAAAATTAGCTCCTGTATATCATCTTTTGTGACCTTTCGTCTCTCGAATTCAAACTCCATCTTTGTAATTTGTTTGCAAGAAGGCTCCCTCTCAACTTTTTCCAGCCCTTTAAAGTAGGGATCAGCTAGAGCCTGAAACATATGAAACAAAAAGATGTGATTGCCATAACTTCAAAAGACAATTGATGCCAAATATGTTGAACTTAAAAGGAGATTTGCAAAAACAAATTGTCACAGAAAAAACAATACTTTATGACAACAACAGACCTCTGCAGCTGTAGGCCGGTCTTTTGGATCAAACGCAAGCAACCTTTGCAGTAGACGTAGAGCCAAAGGATCTGCATTTGGAATTTTTTGTTCAAATGGGATCGGTTGCTTTTTTCTCATGCTAGTTAAGTATCTTCTGGCCTTTTCATTTCGTACCTGTGAGCAAGAAAAAGAAAGAAGTTAACAGCTGTCACCGTCTTCATGATCAAAAAACTGCTCAGAAGTCTTGATGTGCATACTTGAGAGATGGTGACTAATGAAGGTGTACCAAGCAAATCAGTCATCAAATCCAGCTGGTGAACAACGTTTTTCCCAGGAAAAAGTGGCTTCCCAATTAATACTTCAGCAAAGATGCATCCGATACTCCAAATATCAATTGCAGGTGTATACTGTATTAATTAGAAGTAACAAGGATGGCAATCAGAAATCGGAAAATGAACAGAAAAAACATGAAGCATCCATTCCAAGTAGTATGAAAATTAAAAGAAACCCCATCATGCAGCAACCATTTGAAGTAAAAAGAGCATTAATACAGAAAACAAAAATGAACAGATATCCATTGTGAAAAACTTGATCATATATGATGCTAATACGGGATAGGATATATAAGATGATGCATACCATAATTTGCATGCTACATAAAATATTTTTCCAAAACCAAATTTGAGTTTGATAAAAATTCATACAAATAAAGTACAGAACACCACTATTTCAAAAAAAAACCTTGCATATGTTAAAATTTGTATGGAACTGGAAATCACGAGTAACGATTTAGAAATCTCATACTAGAATGAAGATAGATACTTTGAATCATTCATTGCAGATTGGCACATCTAGCCAGACAAAAAGCAACCATTTCATGAAACAAATTGCTACGATACTGCGTGCTATGAAAATCCTATGAACCTAATAACTCGTCTATATGCATTTTAAAGAGAACTTAAACATTAGACAGGTAGATCTGTTAAAATAGCCACACTTTTAAATTCAACTCTTGATCCAAATTAAAGAAACTAAATATACATAAGAAAATAAATATCTAGACAGATCATTGCATGCACCGTAGAATAGACTAAGCTTTATTACATAAACTGAAACATGGATATAGCTTCAACCAATATAATCCCATGAAAGGAATAAACACATGACATGATTTAACTTTGCAGAAACTTTAATGGTTTATAAGAGGACCCCTTTACCTTGGAGAAAAAGGATCCACAGAGCTCTGGAGCTCTATACCATCTGGTTGCAACGTAATCCTGAAAATATCAATTAGAACAGGGTCCAGAAAAAATCAGCTCTTCCTATTGTGATAGATGTAGAACAGTTAGATTATGAAAACATCAATTAATAGTTGTTTTGAAAGGCATACCATCCAGAATATCGTCATAGGTGTATTGCTAAATGCAACTCTAGCTAAACCAAAATCACATATCTTAAGTTTGCAGTTTGCATTTGCCAAAATATTCTTAGGCTTTAAGTCTCTATGGTAGACATTTGCTGCAGCCAAAAAGTCAGATATCAGATACATTCCGCAGTCTACGAATCTAATCAATCCTGTCCACAGCAAAAGACATCAAAGGTGATGTAAAAAAGGGAAACGGAGAGCACAATGAAATAGGAAAAGAACACCAAGAAACAGTAGCACATGCTACAAGAAGCAGTTGTTACCAAACACTAATATAACTTAAAGGGCAAAAGGTTTGCTGAAAATTGAAAACAGCCTTTGGAAACTATAAACGAACTAGACAAAAATATTGACCATAAAAATGTTTACCAATTGTCATGGCATAATTGGAGTTCTGTAAAAAAAAAAGAAAACTGTGGTTAACATTAAAAAGGTCAGACGTCTAAAAGCTTATTTCTGACAACATTACGTGTAATTATCACAATTGATCAACACGGCCAACACATACATAGCTCTAAACCAAGTTAATGTATGAGCAAAGTGGAGCCAATACAGAGTGACAATTGCCAGTGTGAATATACTTCAATGCACGGAGTGGCTG